CCATATTGATAGCATTGTCAAGCAATATCTAATTCCATATTGCAGATGTTTCAGATTCCATTTAGTTACTGCTGTTTTCAAAGCATCACCTATGTTAACAGAATTGTGATTCTCATGAAGTGTGTGTGTGTGGAGGGGGGGGGTTGAAGAACATAATTTGCAATAGTTCAGTTGTTTCTCATTAAGTGGATTGTAGCTTTCAGTAGCTCTTCATGTCCAGCCAGGCATGGTGAGGCTTAATGGTGATAATGATATATCACATACAATGTTCTTTGTTTCATGATAGAGTTCTGAAATTACTGTTAGACATGTTTGTGATGATGATATATATTTTGGATCAGTAGCATTAATCAGGTGACAAAAAAAAACAAACTCTGTATAGCTGAATACAGGGGCATATCAATAACAAAGAATGCCTGATATTCCATGTAAGAAGTTATGCATGTTGTGATGTTGACACCAATTTTGTGTTGAAAGCCTGAAAAAATTGCAACTGGCCTGTTGCTGTTGTTGAACTTCTGATTGTGGACAAATTGTCTTTCCAATTTCTCTCAGTTTTCTAATATTGCTTGGCAACTCTAACTGTAGCACCTTTTGCCACCGCCAACACCCAGTAGCGTAACCACATCTAGTGGTCTGGTACTCAGGGTCTTAGGATGAAGTTTTAACCACAGGCTAACTCTGTGCTGGACAATGCCAGTTGTTGGTCACTGGCCGCTTCAATCCACACAATCTCTGCCCACATTCTTGATCTCAGAAATGGTAGCATTGGTTTAAGCTATGGCAGGTGCTATATTAAGGAAGATATTTTCACAATGAAAAAAGAAAATGAGTGATTTGTGGGGTTAATCTTCATTTGCTTTATATAGCTCTTGGTACAACAAAAATGAACCCCTTTCTGCATCAATCTCTATAGTGACACTGAGCCTTCTCTAAACTTTTGGAAGGCTAGGTTCAAAGTCTTGGAATCAGGAATTCTGGTAGCAGCTGATGTGGATTCCTGAGGCATTCAATGTGCTTTTTCAGCCCAAGTCTATGAGCTTCCCAAAGTCATCTAATTTGCAAATTGACCCAAAACTGGCATGGGGCCAAAGGGTTCTGGGAGTTCAATGATTCCCCAATTTTCGTTAATTCCAATAAAAGCTTTTTCCTTAACTTCAACCTGCTTCACTTCACATCTTGCGCCACTACTTTGCACAGGCAGAGCTAAACTCTGCCCCTTCCTCCTTCCTTCTTGGTATTCTAACTCTGCCCACTTCTCTGGGTGCATAACTGTGACAAATCTAATTTTTAAAATGCCTAGGAGAAAGGGTGTGGTTTACTCTCATTAATTTCAATTTTGTGACTCTTCATGCAAACCAGAACACCTTCTTGGCACAACATGATTGATCTTCATAACCTTGACCCTAAGAAAAGGGGTTCCTTCCTTGTTTTTGTTTTTGTCAAAGAAAATATAATTCTCATCTGCTTCTCTTTCCATTAATAATGAGTTTTCTTAATTTCTCGAGAAAGAGATAAACTTATTTCCAAATTTGTTTTCATCAATGAAAATATATTTGTTTATGTAAATTCTCAACAAAGAGACTCTCTCTTTTCCATCTTTGGGTCAGTCTCTATCTCAGTGAAAACACATGCTAGATTGCTTGTTATGACAGATCGATTTTCATAATTTTGATCTTCACAACAGGTTCATTCTCTATTTTCATTTCTCAATTCATTTTCACTAACAAAAATATAATTTTCGTAATTTCCCAAGAAAGAGATAAGCAGGATTCTAAAATTACAAACAAAATCATGCAAGATACAACAAAATAGGCATAGACAAAAACAATAAAATGCTTTAGTATACACTGCAGAGAAATGGTTGTCTATTTTAAAGGACATGTATGTATGCAGAAATAAAGAAGATTTGCTTATCAGTTGGTGACAACATGTTTAATCAGAGAACTGTCCAGGACACTGGCCTCCTTCAGCCATTGAAAAACGTTGAAAGAGTATTCTATATCTATTTAACTATTTTTTATAATCTACTTTTTCTTTCTTTATTGTTGATTACCATTCTTATCTGTATTTTATTTGCTTAAATTTTTCTTTTCTTATTATTTTGGTTCCAGACTACGACATAGCAATAAGGGTTGAAAGTTATTTAGTAATTTATTTGTTGCTATCATATATATATATATATAAGTGGGGGGGGGGGGGACTATAAATTTTTCTTGTGATGCATTTTGTCCATTAGGACTTCATTGAACTAAAGTGGTGTTTACATTTATGTGATACACATGTGAATGAAAGAGAAGGAACCCTGAGAATTTTTAATTTAAATTTTTTTTTTTTTTTTTTTTTTTTAATAAATATGTTTTTGGTTTATAATCTAACCAATTTCATGTTTCATTACTTTTGTTATTAAATATCCCACATTGTGATAATAGAAATGTAAGAAGCTGGACATAAATTTACTGTGGATAAACTAGTGATTAAAGCACTTTCTATACATTTTCGTCTTAGTAAATTGCCTTCTCTTTTAATTAGTGTAGCATATTTTTTTTTAAATAAAAATTATTGTCACTCATTACATTTCGTGTTGTTTTGTAAAAGATACTTTTTTGTGTTCATATAATCTTTTATTGAAATTCTTTGAGGTTTCTTCTCTGTTTTCCTTGCAACAATTGTTACAGATGATAGAGTAAATTCGTCTGTCAAATTTTAACTATTTTTTTTTTTTTGTATTATGTCTTTTTTATTGTTTTAGAAGTAATTGTAACAAATCAGTCCATCACATGTTAAAAATTTAGGCAACCTGGTTGAAAAACTAAGGGGAATAAATATGACTGACAAATTCATGACTAGTTTAGATATTAAATCCCTTTAACTAAATGTTCCTGTTAACAAATGCTTACATCTTTTTTAAAAAAGCATCTGACACAATAATAAACGTATTCATACCAGTAGCTAAAATAATGAGTGTGCATGTATAGTCACATCAATGTAAACATCACTTTAGCCTAATGAAGTCCACATTACACAAAAAAAATTTCCAATTTGTCATATTTTTTCTTTAAAATTATTTATGATATGAAAAAAAAATTATGTGTGTGTGTGTTACTCCACTTGAATGTGTTATTAGATAAACGAAATAAAATGCCAAAGCCTTCCTTTGCCTCTCTCCCCCTCATTTGGAAAAGATTACCAGTGGTGGTGACATATGAAATTTAGTAAAGATGGAGATAACCTTTATATTGCAGTGTTTTTGTAATACAAACTGTTCTTGATAACTGAACTGTGAAGATGTCACACAATTGTTTTACACTATATTCCATCTGTGCACCATCAAATTTTATATTATATTCTATCTTGGTCACTCTTGTCTCATTTTTTATGTGGAATTTTCAGCTCTTGACTTAATACTAAACTTGGTCCATTTTTCTCTAATGATTCTTTACATTGTTTGAACTGTTGTCCTCATCTTTTTTGTGTTTCGGCCATGGCCCATACTTCTTCAGGTGATTAGAATTTCAAACAACCCTTTATTTCATCCATGTGCATGCTTCTTCCAGATGTCTCAGTTATCTCCCTTTAACTCAACTCAAGTTTTTTTGTTTACCAGACAGTAGCCAGGTATTGAACTCACAACTCTTTGGGTCCAGTCACTGGATCCAACCAACACTGGACCATGTGTTCTTGAGGAGATTGGTATATAAATATGACTTTTTGGGACTTATAAACTTATGTCTCCGTAACATTTTTTACCAGAGCACATATTGCAATTTTGTTGTTATTGTTGTTTTTCTCTAGCACCCATATTACTGGTTCCCATATGGTATCCATTTCTATACTTAGCCGGCTGAGGAAATTTTTGTAGCCTAGCATATGTGCTGATTCCTTAAGTTTTTGTATTTTCTAGTGATGTTCTCTGTCTGTTATTTCAACCTCGTCCCACAAGGGGAGGTGATCTCCTTTTTCACTCCAGATGTGGTCAGCTATGCCTGATGTTTCTGTTTCCCTTCATGTTACGGCTTTTTAATTCTATCTCTTATTTCCTGTCTCTCACTTTCTTCTTTTCACTTCCAATTTCTTTACACAATCTGCATTATTTTAAGTTTCAAAGATTTACTGATCAGACACTTTATCAGCCAACACAAATGTTTATCTTGTAGGTATCAACTGAAGTCATTACCTGGTGCTTGAGATAGTGTGAGGAAAGACATTTTAAATTTATCTAGGTATATACATCTAACTGAACCATGTTTTATCATGATGGTTTCCTATGGCCTTCAAAGTGAATTACTTGATGGATAAAAGGAATACAGGTTTGATTCCTGTCTGGAGGCAAATTTTCTTTACTGGGTCTTCTCAGTCTCCAGGCCAGTTGATATTAATTTTAATGTCCAAAATTACAGGAATGTCTACTCAAACCATGCATACCCAATAAATAAAACATTTATAGTAATATAAAATTATACTGGTTTTAAAAACACTCTCTTAATTGCTTTAAGATGACTGTTTATGTTTTGGGTCTGTTAGCAAGCATAGATTTTGTGATATCCCAACTTGCCTATTTCTTAAACTTTTAATTGAACTATGCTTTAACATGACGACTTCTTGTAGCCTAGCTGGTAAGGCACACTTGGCTTGAAAGTGGTTTTCTGTACACAAAAAGGGAATACATGTTTGATTCTTGCCAGGGAGACATTTTCTTTAATAGGATTTCTTAATCTCTGGTTGACATTAATTTCAATGTTTAAAATAACGGGGATGTCATCTCAAACATCTGTGTTCACTAAATATTATATTTTTATAATAATGCAAAATCTACATTTTTACTAAGGTATCCTTCCTCCATGAGTTAAATATTTAACAAACATAAATCTATTTAATTGTTTGGCTTGTAAAATTGTAACTGCCCAAAAGATGCTGGAGTGATTGTATTACAATTTCTAAAATCTCTCTCCAACCCCAAACTCTGTATTAAATGATTATTATTTTTATTTTATTTTCAGTCTATGCAAATGCTGATTTCTGTGATACTGAAGAGGAGTTTGAATTACTTGGCTGAAAAAGGGAAAGAGAATTGATTGAAGAATTAATGAATTTTCCTCCATTGCATCTCAGATGGACTGGAAAGTTGTCTGCTGCTTCTCATGTAAAACCACTTGGCATATTTTGTCTGTTTGTGTCGTGTGGCTGTGGACATTGCTACACTCTACACTACTGGGCTCACGGCATGGAAGAAAAATCAACTGTCTTAATGAAAGCAGGGCTGATGGAATTAATAGCAGCAGCAGCAGCAGTAGTAGTAGCTGCGCTTATCCAAGCCCCACATACACGAATCTACTTATATTATACATAAATCAAATGCTATTATTTACATACATAAATCAATATATTACTTGATATACAAACTAAATACAGAGGTTTACAAAGCTACAATTATCTATGTCAGGTACTGATATAAAAAAAAAAAAAAAAAAAAAAGCCGCAGCTATTTGCACAGCTTTGTACCTATTGAAATTGCCTGCTGCTGCTGCTGCCAATTTAATTATCTTCAATCTGAGTATTACATTTTGTCATGGTGCCCATCTTAGGAGTATTACTAACTCCAGTATTCGGCACTTGATATATGTTTTTAAAAAAAAAAATCAAAAAATAGACCTAAAAAAAAATAAAAATGGATGATATATTTGAATTCCTCAAAAGTCGGTTAAGAAAGAACCAGCTACTATGTCCTTCTTGCCCCATCTCCCATCTGTTCCAGCTACTATCTCTCCCTAAAATACCCTTGAAATTTTTCCCTCACCTTCAAAAAAACAAGAAAAAAATAAACACACTTGAAGCTGATGACCATCATTGTTGGCATGTTCTATTCTTAACCGTTACAAGGAAAAAAAAAAAAAAAAATATGATGATGACGGATACTATAGAGAGCCATGGACTTGCTGTGTCAGCAGCTAAGGAGGCTGGAGGTACTCCAAGAAACTCCAACCCTCACTTGCACAATAGTTGCTGGCAATAAATTAAATCTCTCATTTGTTTTTGTTAATTTACATTTATTTTCTCCTTTGAAGATCTTTTAAGTTATCAATAAAAGTGAGCTGATTTACTTTTAGCGGCTCCTCTTTGTCTTGATGCCCCCCCTACCCCCAAACTCTTGTTATTCTGTGTTAGAAAAATTAATATTGTTTAATATTTGTTTCTAAATGTGTATAGTTAGAAGGGTGGGCTGAAATATTCATCGGCTGACTATGAAAAAGTGATGCTAGAGCTGTGAAATCTTGCATGTATTAATCTCAACTCTTCTTTTTAATAACTGCATTGTTTTATTCCAGGTAAACTGACATATTGACAGTTCAAAGAAGACTTCAGAAGTAACTAGTAACGACTTCTCATGGAAATGGAGAAAATTTGGCATTGTTGTATTATCTTGTACCTGCAGAAAATGGGTTTAGCCCTAAGGACATTCATGCTGATATGGTTGCTATATTAGGGGACGACGCTTTATCAACAGTGCAAAAAGTGGGTAGCTGAATTTAGGATGGGAAGGGAGAGTCATGAAGATGGCCCAAGGTCTGAACTTTCTGCAACTGCCACTATTGAAGAAAACATAGATCATGTTCAGCCACATGGTGATGGTTGACAAGTGGTTGACTATAAATCAAATAGCCATTGCCATCATCATATCCCATGAGAGAGTTGAAAATATTCTGCACAGTGAACTTGGTACAACAAAGGTTTCTACTTGGTGAGTGACACATCTTCTGACACCTCATGAAAAGTGCACCAGGCTGATCACATCATGGGAAAATCTGACATTGTTTGAAGCTGATCAAGCTGGTTTCCTTGCACATTTTCTAACCTAGGATGAGTGTTGGATTAAAGTGATGAGCCAGAGATAATCCATTCAGTGGAAACACCCTCCTTCACTTGCTCCAAAGAAATCTAAAGTTATTTCATCTGCATGGAAGGTGATGGCCTCAGTTTTTTTGGATGCAAAATGCATTGTTTTATCAATGGAAGGTACTACGCCAACTTGCTGAAGCAATTACAAAAGGTTATCAAATCCAAATACCCAGGGGTCTTGTTTTATCAGGACAATGTTCCAGCACATAAGTCCTTGGTTTTAATGGCTGCTGTGCATGATCAACCTCCCTATTCTCCTGATTTGGGTTCATATGACTAAAATCTGTTCCCATGAAAAAAAAAACAATATCACATTGATGACGTCATATTGCTGTTGATGACATTTTTAACCAACAAGATGAAATCTTCATCAATGGGATCCAAGCACTGCAACACTGGAAGAAATGTATGGACCACAAGGGGGACTATATTGAAAATTAAACCACATTTGGTTACATTTCATGTGATTATTTTGGTCAGCCTATGAACTTTTCAGCCAACCCTCATAATACTTTTTGAAAGACCTTTACACTAATTTATTGATTTATTTGTGAGTAAAACTGAATGAGAATAAGTAGAAATAGATAAGACAGTTTTAAAAGATTTTCACCAGTAAAAAAAAAAAATAATGACATAAGAATAAAATGTACATTAACAAAAGATAAAACTTCATTCTCATTAAGTGTCCGAACTCTTACTTTAAGTCTTTGTAAAATCTAATTTCTAATATTTTATTTAAAATATTTTTTAACTGTTCACCCAATACTAGGCCTAAGAGCCACACAAAGAAGAAGATTACTGAGTGAGATTGGATTTTAAGGAAATGGGGAGGGGAGTGATAGAGTATAATAAGGACAAGTAGGAAAGAAAATCAGTCGAATTAAGGTTTTACTTATTAGGAAAGCATTCTCTCAGGAGTTTATTCCACAAAGAAACAGTTCTGAATAAGAAGGGAGTATGGTCGGTTTGCCACCAGAAACATGGCATCATGGCGAGTCTTGCCTGTGAAGGTTCAAGCTGATGGAACTAAAGAATTTAACATGTCCAAACATCTGTCATAGTAATATCAATAGAGGAGTGAAAGGCTGGCAATATTTTGTCTCCAGGATAAGGATTTGCAGGGTGGAGAATAATTCATCACCCACAAAGCCACATAAGTGATTAGTACTGATTTAGTAAGAAAAGGGGATATGTGAGTGTGTGTGTGTGTGTGTGTATATAATAATGGACTCTCTCGTCAGTTTCAACGTATGAAAATCTTACAAGTTAATTGATTCAGTTATGAAATTTTATGTGATAATCTTAAGTGGCACTTAAGACCCGCTAGTGATTTACAAAGGAGGCCGCATATGGAGCAAGAGTAAGAATTGTGGGATGAGATCACTGTTAGAGTGGCTGAACTTTTAGATCTTGCTCTCGCTTCTTGAAGACAATTCAGACAAGCAGATTGAAAACTGCTGAGTTCACTAAAACATGTTGATCTCCGTTCTACCTGCACCAAGGCTAAGCGCATGAAGGTGTTATGAGGTATATTGATAGCTGACAAGTTGCTATTCAGTTTGTCTTTTTTTTTATATACATATATATATATATATATATATATATATATATATATATATATATATATATATGTCATCCACAGACATACTTTTTCACTGTATCACAGCTCATCAGTGTGGCTAGACATCCAATTGCCTCAAGTCAGGATCAAGACCCGACTGATGCCAAATCAGTCAGAGATTTTTCTCCTGAGCTGTCAGCACCTGACAAAGAGGAAGGTGAATTTTTACATATTTATTTTTGAATAAACATGCCAGTGACTCAGAGTGCTCGATTCATAGAAGAGCTTTGCATTATCAGCAGTAGCAGTCACTTTACAAATTTGCACTTTCCTTCTAAAGTGCTCGACTGAATTTTATTTTTTCAGAGGCATATATATATATATATATATATATATACACACACACACACATTAATTATTAATTAATAAGTAAAAATACCAACTAAAAAGTAGAAAATGAACATTGGGTGACAAAATGTGCTTAATACTTTATAGCAAAGATATTATTTATAAGAAAGGATTGCACATGAAATGTGCACATATAACTGAGTAGAAGTCAACCATTGGAGGCACCTTTCTTGTTTGCATGTGTATTTGGGCTGCAAACTTGAATTTATACATGTTTGGTTAAAAACCAATGAAAGTTGTTTATTTTTTTTTTTTAAACATGCACACATTTGTAAAAATTCAGATATAAATAAAAATATATTTTTAAAAAGACTAAAGACAAAGGTATAACTTTTCTTTACTGGCATGTTTCATTCTTTGATAGACTTTAGCAAGGCAAATTTCAACATATTCTTGAATAAATTATATTCTCTTTTTAACAAAATATTTTCTAGATCAATATTGTGATTATGAAGATAAAATTAAAATATATCCTCTTAGCAGTATTGAAACAATTTGGAATATTTAAAAAGAAAGAATTGAAATTACTTAAAATCTCCTTTCTGTAACGATATAGTTAAAGTAAAACTCAATGATTCAGACACAAATTATATTTTAGTAATTCAGATTTTGATCTTATGTAATAGATTTTTTTTCCTGACGATGTTGCATCACCAGTGAAACATGTCAAGTTAAAAATGTTTCAGAATTTTCATATATATGATTGTTAAAATAATCCTGGCTTTCTCATTGAGTATCACTTGATTAAAATTTAGAGACTTATTTTTGTGTGTGAGGATATAAACACGGTTGAGTTTTTACATACATTCCACTTTGCGGATTGTTGCTACCATAGTGAGTTCACTGCTTCCTCGTTGTGATGGCTTGTAGTTAATCATCATGAAGAGCTGACATTTTTACTAAAGTTGTAATGAAGATGGGCTGTAAAATGAAAACAGTAGTTGACATCTTCTCCTTTATATGCTATATCCTGTTTTACATTTTCAGTATATTGCTCCTACAAAGTTTTCGCTTTTTAGCTTGGAAGGCAGTTTCTTTTTGGCATCAGACCAGCACTCTGGCCCTGTAAAAATGGACTTGCTACTGAAACTGTGTAGTTTGAAATGAAAACAAGCTCTCAAGTCTTGCAATATCCCTGTTATATAAATATCTAGACCTGATTATATGAAATGGGTTATGCAAATAATAATGTTAAAATGCTATGAATGCCTGTCATTTTCTGCCGTTAGAAATTGATGAGCTTTCATAACTAATCTTTTTTGCTTTATTCAAATGTAAAGCAAATATGAAAATAAAGCAAATTTTACATGGGTTTTGGTTCCTGTTAAACTCCATAAGAAGCAGAGTTAAAATTTCAAAATTAAAATTTAGTCAATTATTAATTTTTTTTTAATAATCGCTAGAGAAATAATTTAGTCATAGAAAAAAATGAAAAGTTTACGTGACTAAGTTTGAAGTTACACAGGATTTTTAGTCAAAACTTAAATCTAAATGGGAAAGCCAATCTGCCAGTATACAGGATATGGGGGTAGCAGAAGATGTGTACTTCAAAAGAATGACACTACTTTGCTTCCAACAAAAGTTTTTCATACATTTTCCTCACCATTTTTATTTTAATCATCTGACAAAAGTTACCATGTCTTTTATGTGTATCCAAAAATTTGGTCTTGTTGGAAAGTAATCTTTACATGTGCTTAACTTGTTCGCTATTATGAGAATGGAACTTAAAGAAGTTGAAATTAATCTGAATGTTGTGCGGAGGGGGGCATTATTTACTAAAACAAGTAAAATTTTCCTGGGGTGGGAGGCACCTTACTTTCAACCATGATTAATAAACCAATTCTTTTAGATCAACTCTTTCATTAAATGAGTTTTATTCTCACTACTTTGTATCAGATTAAACTGAGTAAGTAACTGTTTTTTTCATCTTGGTTAAATAAGATACTCTAGCAATTAGAATGGGAAATAAAGAACTGATATTTTAAATGCTTTATTTTAACCCTTGTTGTCGGTCCATTGTTGGAAAGTGGAATAATCTTGAGAGACAATAGTTTGGAAGTTTTTTTGTTTTTTTTTTAAAATGTGTATGATTGTTAAAAAGAATTTTTGATTCATTTCATCTGAATAAATTATTAAGAAAGCCATCAGTTCATATCACTTGATAATTTTGTTTTTATAGGAAGAAGAAAATAAAATGTAAATTCTCGATTTAGTCCTCATGTAAAAACTGACCATTTCACTTTCCAACAAAACTGAATTTAGAGATATGAAATAGAAAAAGAGGAAACTGGCCTCTCAACTTTCCAATGTAATTTTCACTTTGTTATTTCAGTGCCTTTTCTGATCTAAAAATAGGAAAAAAAGTCTGGTTTAAAATGACTTGCAATACATGTCTTTTTTATTTTCTCTTGCCCTTTGTTGCTTTACCTTTTCACCATTTTGTTCAGTTTATTTTCTGACTTTGTAGAGATGAAGTTGTGGCTGGAGCAGAGCCCACCAATAATGATCAGTTACATGTATTTTATCCAGTCTGCAATATCAACCTTCTGGTATCTTCCTGCTGACTTAAACATTTTTACCATAGCTGTTTTCACTTAATGCAAATAATTGAAAAGCCAGTTGAGTTTTCAGAGTGACTGACAAATATTTTCAAATATTGTAAGCCATTTTTTATCCTTTTCATTATGAAGGCAATATTCTTGATTCATTTATTTTTTTTTAACACCAAGTTAATGTTTGTTTGTCCATTTTGACTAACAAATTTCAATTTTTCAATGTTTAATATGAGCTGAAATATGTACAAATAATTTTGACTCATATCATCCTTTCTGTTGATTTTTATTACAATTTTTAGTTATTTCCTTGACTACATATTTTGCATTTGGTTGGTTGTCTTAGTGTGTTACTGCAGACTTTTCATGTTTTCAATAAAAAGGACAGGAAAACTAGTTTGAAAGTCTCATGCTCACAAGAATTTTTTCTTTGTCTAAATGGTAATATTAACCATTTCCTTATAAGGAAATATTTGACATTCATTGACTGAGCAACCAATGCTACTTTTGGTTGTAATTTATAAAATCCTTCTCTTAAAACACTTTTTCTGAAGTCCACTAGCTGTTTTTGCTTATTGCAGTATGGAAGTTTCCTTCCTTCCTTTATTTGAAGTAGTGTAAAACATCAACATCTCAATTACATCATTTTCTCTTCTGAGTTAAATGTATACTTTTCATTTAGGTTGTTGCTGCTGTTGAAAGTTCTAAAGTGATGTGGTTTCTGTTATTTGGTACATATAATTATAGTCCACATGACACACTCTAAACAATTGATCTTAGTCATTGTATATAGCAGACAATTTAGATATTTTTGATGCATATGAAAGTCTCAATTTAATAACATGATATTAATGTTTTGTAGTGTTAGTTTTGACCATGTTCAATTTAATCCTATTATAACTGATCCATACACCAAGATATTTGAAGTGTTCACTAAATCTACATCATTCTACAGACATTTGCAAATTAATTACTAGTTTTATTTTTAATAATTTGCTTGGAAGAGTTTTAAACTTTACTTCAGACAAACCATAAAGTAACTCTTAAGTCATTTCAGTTGTTTTACTTAGGTTGCCTTGAGATATCATTTAGATAGGTATTGTAATTATTTAATCTTTATTGCCATGTTTGCGATTGGAATTTCGAACTGAACCCTTTATTTTGTTCATTTGGTCTCACTTGGAGAGATAACGAGACATTCATTATAGCAGATATTATAGAAATTCATTATAATGTAGCCAGGTATTGAACTCTCAACTCTTTCAGTCAAGTCACTGGATACAAACCAACACTTATCCACTGGGCCAGTGTCCTTGAGGACATCAGTGTATAAATTTTTGAAACTTATAAACTTAATGTCTCAGTAACAATTTTTTTTGAAGAGCTCATATTGCAGTTTTGTTGTTTTTCTCTAGCACTCTGTATTACTGGTTCCCATATTGTATTCATTTCTATGCGTATTTCTATTATTTTCAACCTCATCCCACAAGGGGCAGTGATCTCCCTTTTCCCTCCATATTTGGTCAGGTATGCCTGATTTTTCTAATTCTATTTGTGTTACGGTTTTACGATATTTTCTTAAGGGGGCAGCCTTTTTCTCCTTTATATTTCTTAACACAGCTGAACAGGATGATGTACACATTGTCCTTAGTCATGTTCTTACTCTGAAGAAGTGTCAAGCCACTTTTGAAGGTTGTCCTGATGTTGTATGGACCACAGATCTTTTTTCTCCGATAATTGCTTGACATAGAAAACAGCTTCAGTCTGCCTACTTGATGAAAAAAAAAAAAAAAACCACAAACAAAACATGATAGGTATTGATATGCTGGTTAATTAGTCCTTGCTGAACTTCTTTACAATAACTATCAGTTTTAAAAATAAAGTACTTGGCAGCTTTCGAGGAAGTGTCTACAATGTGGAGCTTTCTTCAGATCTTCTCCACACAATATAGATGGCAGAGTCCCTTATCCAGAATGTTGCTGAACATAAGCTCAGCATAGTAATCAAAGATTGATTCCTTCACACGCTATGTATGTGGTAGGAAGGAGACACCTATATTCCCATCATTTTATTAATGAAAGACAACAATTTACTTGGAAAATAGAATTTATTGCAATCAAATAAGATTTTTTAAATGGTAGAAATTGAATTTGACAAACTGAAAATGAAATCTTTTACAAAATGGCAATGAGACATGAGATTTTTCGTTTTTTTATTTTGAGCATGATTCAGAGATCAAAATCTTTTTTTCCTTAAATGGTTACAAATGAAATGTTTACCTTTTTTTTAAAAAAAAAAAAAAAAATTGTACTCTAGACGAGAGCTAATTGGGTCTGGCTATGTTGTAAGTAGTGCCTTAAAAATGGAATTCTAACAGAAACAGATATTATATAGCTACTTTGCTTGTGTCAAGTGCCTTGTGTTTGCAAAATGTCTCTAAGTCAAATTGAAGGAGGTTGAAATTCTATTGAACTGTACTTGGCTATAAAGAAGCAAATATGGCAAATTGTTAGAAGAAGAAGACAACAACAACAACAACAAGAAGAGAATGTGGAATCAAGTAGATCCTGAGAAAGTTGCGAGTTGCTTTTCTCACTTAGCACCATCAAAATGGCCAGTAATTTCCTTTGTATCTTTCATGCACCTTTTATCATTTTAGTATCTTAAAATAATGGTTCAATATTGAAAATGGAGATCTGAGGTGTGGCTCTACAGTCGAAATAAGTGTTAGAATGCTTGGACCAATGTTTCCCCTCTGTGCACTTGTAGCATAAAAAAAAACCCGACAAGATTTATAAACTACCACACAGCCATTATCTTTATCTCAAGATACTATTTGGATCACAATTGTAACTGTTAATCTAATTTCTCTTATAGAGGTACATGATCTTCTCTTTTGTTGTGATTTGATATCTGAATGCCATGGAGAGCACATGAAAGTGAGGAATACTGGAATGGGAAGACAAAAAAAAAATTGAGCCAATTGCTCAGAGGTTCCCTATGTATGTGTATGTCTAATTCTGCGTGTAATGAGTAGGGGGGGGTGGGGCAGTGTCACATCCCTGGACTTCATATTATCGATAGTCACAATTATCACAGCAATGCCAGTGTAGCTACAACCTACACACTTTGATCAGGAAACGAGGGAGGAAGGGGTAGATGGGAAAGCAAAAATTAAAAGCCACAACCTTACAAATACAGTGAAGCTCAATCAGCAGTTGGGCTGTCTCTTTGCCTGCACCTCCCCAACTTTTGTACAAAGCACACAATTATGGGAACAGGAGTAGCAGTCCCTGTGGCCTGCAGAGCTCATTGTCAGAGTTAGGGGGATTGGATGAGCAACTCTGGGTCATATGCAAATCTGTCAGCATTGATTGGATGGAAGTTTGATTCATAGATGCCTTGTAGAAGAGGACTGTTGCGGAGAAGGAGGTGGTACAGTTTTGCTCGCCCCCCGATTTTGTGTTTGAGCTTGCAAGACTGACTGGATCTTTTTACGAACAATGTTCAAGTGTTGCAGGATGTATGCCTCCTCTGGTGCCAACTCATGCGCATGCTGCAAACACTCCTCAGCACGAAGAATGTCACCTCGTTCCACATACACCACACACAGATTGTGTAGCGCTTGCACATTCTTTGGTTCATTCTGAAGAATGGTCTCAAAATTCTGAAATGAGTAAAAGTTCTAACATTCAACTTTCACAAAATAATGTAAAAATGCAATATATATAATAATTTGATAAATAGTATGGATAATTCCAAAGAGAGATCAATGTAAGAACAAAACAAATATAATAATGATTAATGTGGAGTCCTTAGAAATCCATTGGTAATTTATTTCACTGGATCAAACACTTACCTCTTCAGACCAAAAAAGTTTGTTGTAAAATTTTTTGGTCTGAAGAGATGGGCGTGTGATCCCGTAAAATAAATTATTACCAATGGATTTCTAAGGACTCCTCTTTCATCATTATATTTGAAATGTAAATCACCCCAAGTGAAGCAGTAATATATATATATATATATATATATATATATATATATACACACACACAAGATATTTAAATTCATATCCAAATAAGGAAGACTATTGTTCTAGGTTTTATTGTCCATTGCTTTAAATAATTTCAACATTTTTTCTTTTTTCCTTTTAATATACAAACAGTTAAAGTACAGTTATGGTGTATACAGTTGTAATTAATTTTTTACTTACTTTCTCAGCTTTATCCAAATCTTTTAATGTATTCACATTAATATCTCCCATCAAAATCAAACCTTTTGTGTGGTTGGGATAATACTAGAAAAGAAGAATCATTTTTGTTTAAATAATATCAATGCAAACTGTCTTTTCAGATTGTTTCTATTTGTCTCAGAAAATAACAAGTTGGTATTTGGGAATATTTTTCTTAAAATAAGTTTTTTCTAACACCTGCATAGTTGTATATATTTTTGTAAAGCAAAGTATTAAAAAAAAAAAAAAGCACTAAGTATCATCATCAAAAATGATGTTTTTATGTTAATATAACATTTTAGGTAAAAACTACAATGTCAAAAGGACAGTTTTTCTATTTTGTTCTAAGAAGCTAGAAAACAGGTTGAAACCAATTCACTTCCAACAACAATAGCAAATATGAGTAAAATAACAAAACACCAAAGTGTCATACAAGAGAACAACACAATAAGTGACAAAGAACTTACAACTTTAAGAAACAATTTTATCAGAGTTGTCAGTTCTTTGTTTCTTATTGTATTGTTCTCTTGTATGACAGTTTGGTGTTTTGTTATTTTACTCATATTTGCATATGATGTTGGAAGTGAATCATATTCTTATTTGTTTTTTTTTTTTTTAGGTGTTACACTCTTTAGCATCTGGTGAGTGGTTTTGTTTGCAGACAAAGGAGTTCTTTTCTCAGGAGTGCCTTTATGGTCAGTCCTTATTCCTCACATTGTTGACAGCCAAATTTCTGGCAGTTGTGAAATCTACGGGGGTTATGTATCCTAGTTTTATTTCTTTCTGTATTTGTTTATTGATGTGTCATTTCTTTTTATTTGTATTCTTTTGAAATCTGTTACACCTTGGTATTTTATGGTGCCATCATTTTTAATTTCTTCCAGTTAACAGAGCAACAGTTCTGGGCATTTTAGTATTCTCTTAGGAGAGGGAAGGTTTTGGTGGTGGTGGGGGAAGTAAACCTTTACTTTAATGTTTGTTTTCTTTTTAGTATGTTTTCTGCATCGTGTTTTTTTTTGTTTTTGAATTAGAAGTGTGTTATTTTTCTTTATTTTCTTACTGATTTTGGTTCTATCATGTTTGATATAACCTTTTGTAATACAAAAGGCAACACGTTTGTTATTTCACCTAATAATTCTATGACAGTGCAAATTGGATTTTTATTCCAGATATTTCATTGAGTTTACAGATAGTTTTTTTTTTTTTTTTTAGAGTTTGTCGTATCATTTTGTTTTTGTATTCGCAGTCTGTACTCCGCAGCTGCCTCAGAGTTCCTTCTTAAGAGATGTTATCAGAGGATACTAATTCCATTTGTCCTAACCCTGCCAGGGCTACACAGATGGCATAGTTGGTTGAAAGTGGCCGTGAACACCTTCATTTCCCCATCTAGTGTAAGGATTTGCAACCATGCTCTTTCATTCCAACCAGCCTTTGCCACTATGTGAGTAGCTGACTGGATTGGGTTACTCTATCCATTCATCTATCTCAGGTTGGGACCAAAGTTGGATGTTATGGAACTCCTGGTCATTACATACCAAGTCACTCATTAGGACTGTCACCCCATTAGGAGGGATTTATAGTTTGCAAATTTCATTGGTATTTTTGTATGGACAGGTCATTTAGGCATAGCATTTTGCTTAAACAGATAGTTTAAAGATATCTATTGTTTTTTTTTTTCAATAGATTGTTTGTATGGAGTGTGAAAAAAACCATGAGTGCAGTTTAACATTTTGCTGAGGACAGAGAGAGTGAGTGAACTTTGGTATAAATGTGTTAGATTCTTAACTACTTTTCTAATTGATAGAATGTTGTAATATTATCTTCCTCATTGCTGTACTAAGTTTTATAAGTACAGGTGATGCAATTGCATTAGACAGAATTCACTAAATAAATTCAAAGTGAACTTACCTTGAGTAACTTCTCCAGATATGGAACAGCTTCGAGTGGTTGATTCATGTCGTTAACCAACATCAAAGCAAGATTGAATAGTGCACTGCGCATGTTGTCTTCATACTAACAAAACAGAATTCAATTTGGCTGTCTGAATACATCTTTTCATGTCAAAACATTTTGCTTACAGCCATTGAAAATAAAATTTCAAAGCAATATTTTTGGTGGTTTAAATAGAAGGACGTTGTGAACTGAGTTCAGTTTAATGAAAAGTTAAAAAAAATGTTTGTAAATTGTTAGGAAACCTCTGACTGAAATTAACGAAACTGATTTTCAATGAAGACAGTTATAGTTTCCAAGGTTCCAGTTTCTGTTACTTGATAAAATAATTTTATAAAATTAAATTATCTGTAGTTAGGAGTTTTCTTGGAAATATGTGCTCCATTTTAATCAAAGAGTAACAAACTAGAAGAAATTTCTCAGTCAAAAGATTTAGCAGAAGGATTTTAATTCAGCCTTTTGAAGAAAGATTACTCTTATTTCAAATCAGCTTTTCCTATCTTGCGTCTAATTCAATTACAACAAAACAGTCAGATAATCTCACCTTGATTGCACTGATGAACCATTTTTTTGCATTTTCAAAATCTTTATTGTCAGCAGCCAACATAGCCAAGCAGTAATAGGCCTTGCCATCATTGGGATGAATACGTAGCAGTTTCTGTAGACTAGAAAATAATTTTTGAGATAAATGTTACAGAGTTGGGTATGATGTAAATAAAACTATTTTTTTCCTTTAAACAGAAAAAACAATTTCACCTGATTAGCAAACCAAATTTTCTAATCTCTGAACAAAGGGATGGTGCTGAAAAGTTCTAGACTGTCCAAGAGGGATACAAGGTGCATTCAAAACGTATCTGATTATTTTTTTTTTTTTTTTAACCTGCCAAAGCTAAATGGCAGGTGGGAGGTGACACTACCTTTCCTGCATATGCATGAAAATTTTTGTGCCAGTAGGCTACATTAATTTCTGGCTGTTATGCTTAGAGTATCACACTCATCGGATTTTCATTTTCACACAAGATGACTGAATGCAGTTTCCTGGTCACATGTACAAATCCTCCATTAAAATGGAATGCACTGATCCTTTGCTTATTTCCACTTTGGCTTGTGGATGGCCTGCCTGAGCATACATCACTTACCACATAGATGTGGTCATATTTGAAGCAGCTGTACCACTCTTGATGTGAGTTTTATCATCATAGCATCCTCGCCAATGGTTTGAGCTTGAGTATTATCAAGTTTTTGGCAAAGCTTGACGTAATATTTCTGCATTCGGTCATTTTGCATGAAAATGAAGCTCCAACAAGTTCACACAACATGTTTGAATTGACAGGAAAATTTTGATGCATGCACTGGAAATATAGTATCACCTCCCACCTAAAGGATTTTGCCCACAAAGCATTAGTTTTGGTGGGAAAAATAAAATACTTTTTGAATGCACATTTTGGTCAGTCCAACCTTCTCAAAATCTAAGAACTTTTCAGCATCTAACACTTCAAGAAAGTCCAAATTAACACATTGTGACTAAATTTAATATGAAACAGTTCATTGAATTATTAGTGTCAAAACAAACAATTCCAAAATTAACATTTGATGATTTGTAATGTGAAAACCATCTTTGAGGTAGATAAAGTTTATGGTCCATTTTGGAAACTACTGTTTTTCATTAAGAGTTCAGTATTTGAAGTCAATGTCATTTAAACATTGCCTCAACATGTGTGTGTATGTTTGTAAATGTTAGTAAATTTTGAAGGTAAATGCAGTTAAGAAAAATTTGAAAATTAAAATATTTGCAGGAATTAATAATTTACTTAAGAAAAAAAAAGATTCATTGATATTTTTTACTTTGCTTAGTGACATTAAATTTACATAAAATTTAATGTATAAAAATTTTTTTTTTTTTTTTTTAAATTTGTCTAAAATTTAGCTCACCGTCTCATAGCTTCAGGCCGATTTTTTGGGTCACCCATTTCTTGCATTAATACAGCAGAATTAAAAAGAGTTTGCTGAAATAAGAGACAACAAAAACAGATTAATTTCACTTGTAAATTTCTATATTCAAATAATAGAAATAACCTTTTTAGTCAATACCAAAACAAGTTTTAATAAAAAACAATCTAATGGGTGTGCACAAGGGTTGCCAAATTATCCAATTTTTGGTTAGTTCTATCACACCAATAGGCAAAAATTTAGTACAGCTAATCTAAAATTCAAAAGGTACAACTTTTGTATGACTTCTAATTTAAGTGTCATTTATTTATGTATAGGATAAAATCTGATGAAAAACTCATTTTCATATTAGACTCCTTTTAAATATTTATTAAATTCATTATGGATTATTATTATGTATTGTAGGATATTTAGCAGAAAATTCAGAAATGGTTCTCACCATCTGCATCACATAAGTTGGCTTATAGTAATTTCTATATTGCTATAAATGACGATGATAAAACTCTCTTAAAAATTTCTAGAAATGCTAAATCTAGACGCTTATCCATTGAATCTGCTTTAGGAAGAATATTAGTTCAATGAAATGAATTAAAATTCCATTTCAAAATAACACAAAGAACAGAAATGTTACACGTACTTTATGAATTGTATAAAGAGAAGAACGTTTTTTACCTAATGTTTTTCTATCCAATTCTCTTAGAAGTTCTAAAAGTTAATAAGTTATTTGAATATGCATCAGCAGATAAAATGAAACTTAGATGATCTGACACTTCTTAGAATGATCAATTACTACTACCAACTTCTACTGTGGACCCAGTTTCATCCAACACTGTAAATTATTTGGAAAAAAGACCTTGCTTAGGATACACCTTTGAAAATAAAAATCAAAGAATTAAGAAAACTAATGGAAAATTATCTAAAGACCAAGAAAAGTGTACAAAAGAAAGGTGCCAACAATTTCATTTAATGCTTTTCAATCATGTGAAATAAAGATTACCAGACAAGAAATACTAAAAAGTATTGCAATTTTTTTTTCCAATTACCAAAGCTATACATGCAATTAAAGAGGCCATTGTCAATTTGATGAGAAGAACAGAGGCAACAGAAGTGCATTTCTCCTATTGAAATTCAGTGCTCAAAACTGCATTTAATTGCTTGGAACAATAAAACTGACACTGGAATAATTTTCAGGCTTTTGTATTAGAATATAAGAATTCTTTTGGAAGTAATCTTTTCAAAGAGCTTACAGAATTTCTAACTTCACTATTAGTACTGTTCTGCACAAGTGCTGAAGATGAAAGTTTTTTCAGCGATAATGAACATTGTGCAAACAAAATGGAACTGAAAATGATCAAAATACAATTAGCAATTAAATTTGGACGAAGCAAGTACGATAAATGCTCCAGCACAAAAATTTATCAAAATTTATTAGCTCAAATGGCTCCTGTCAATTTACATTAAAGTTTGAAGAATTGATCCAATTTCTGGATTATTAAATCTGGTGGGAAATGATAATATCCATAATGGTTTCCTGTTGCCTACATTTTATAACACCTTAAATATTTATTGCATAATTATTTAAACTTTTATTTCTGCAAGCAATAATTTATTTTTGTCTGGATTTCTGGATTAAGTCCTCATCTTTGGCATTATTACTACAACATTTCAGCCATTCTGCTTCCAAGGCCTTCTTCAGGTGTCCGTCAAACTAAACCCTTTATTTAATCTACAAAGTGACATGGAGAACAGCAGACTGAGCAGTACTAAAAAAAACAAGACGGTTATCACTCGCCTGGTTTCCATGGAGTCTCAGTTTCATCACAGACAGATAGTGGATTCAAGCATCAATTATTGAATTACTGAAATTTAATTTTCAAGAATTTTATACTCTTAAATCTATAAGATCTGTGTTCTCTTCAAAAATATGCCACAACTTCCATTTTAAAACAACTTGATTACAGTGATGCTAAAACCTGTGTGGACTGGCTTGGCTGAAATAGCCAGCCATATTACTATATATGGACACAAAGTAAAGATAAATTTAAAAAGAAAAAAAATTTCAATCTCTTGAATGTTTCAACTTACTTGATGATCAGGGTTGAGTTGGAGTGCTTGCTCAAAATAGATTTTGGCATCAGAAAGTTTTTTCCTTTCTAGGCTCACTACACCCAGCTAAGAAAAGACAAAACAGTTTCAGTTATGCTTCAACATTTATATTGAATTCTCTCTTTGTTCAAAGAGTTTCTGTTAATTTAGAAGTGGATAGTTGATGGCAAATTCAAATTCTTCTTTATGTTATTTTTATGTAGTTAATCTATTTTCTACCTAATGTGTTAATATCATTCATTTACGAAATGAAACTTTTTTGTTTTCTTTTTAATTTTTTTGCATTATGAAGACAAATATAATCAAAATATTACTTTCTTATCGTTGTAAACATACAACACAACCCTTGTCTAAGCTTTCCATTGACCGGACAAAGATTACCCCACATCACATTCCAATCTCATCAGTGTGTACCGAAAGCTGTGGAAACGCATGCTGCCTGCTCACAAAATGACATGATGAAAGACAAATGCCATGTTGAGAAATAAGATCACAAACCCTATTTCCTCATATTGTATGTAGATGTTTTATTTGGGACTTTACCTGCTCATCCAGGTGAGTAGATAAGTGATACTTGGGACAACTTCTATGACAGCTCTTCTCCTTACCAACTCCTCATCCATTTAATCATCCCAACGTGGTAACTAGCAGTACAAATATGGGTTACAGAACTGTGTGACAGCATTGGAACCACACCATGGAGACATCATTCTCTTGATCCCAAGCATGACTGTTAATATAGACCAGCACTTGGATATACCCTATTTCCAGTTTGCTACCACTTGATTTCCAAAAACCTTTCATCCACTCCTTTACTTCCCAATTCCCGTTTGGTCAAAGTGGATGCCACTTAGAAGACCAAACTTCAAAAGGAACCATCTGAAATAGAAACACTTGAAGTCAAGATAAACCCACCTTCCCTTTCTATGTTGATCTCCATAGTACTACATTGTGATGAATGGTAGATAAATCAAAACAGCCAAAGTGTGTGAAAATTATAATGTTACTTACATTGTAATAAATGTCAGCATCTGTCTGGTCATATTTGAGGGCAATCTGATACTGTTCTTCAGCTTCTTGGAGCCTGCAATAACAACATTTTTATTCTATCTATTGGCACTACACAATCTTCCTTAATGTGAATATTTACTTATTTCTAGTTTCTATTTTGTTTGTTTTTCAATATATTTACTGTGGTCATAATTTTAAATACTTCAAAAGCAAACATTAAATCAATTAATTTTCCACTAATTCTTAACTTAAAAAAAAATCTTTGATTCCAAGAATTACAACAGTCTTATAATCTAAACAAATAAAACTGACTTTTTCAACTTTTATTTTTAAAGTCAACACACAAGCATAAAAACTTCATGAACTTATTCAAATCAAATTTTTCACTCATTATTTCAACCTAAACTATTTTAAACAAGAAATTGAGAAGAACTTACCTTCCTAAACGGACTAAAATTTCTCCCCTGCTCATGTAGGCCTTCACGTAATCCACTCTCATTGTGACAGCAGTTTGATACAACTGAACAGAATAACAAAATTAAAAATACACCCATCACATTCAATAATTGCATTTACATCACAAAGTCTATTCTGTTGTTGAAACCAAAATTCCTCTGATTCTGTGATAAAAATAAGTCCTGTTCAGAAAGCAAAATACAATGTCTCTGGAAATACGAGAGATTTTTATTTTGTTTTTTTTTTTTATTCCTAAGTTATTTTTCCATTATTTATACAGATTAGCAAATCACATTAAAAAAAAAAAAAAAGGAAAATTTGTCATGGGTTTATTGTTTAAATACTTTCATACTTAGTTTTCTTAAAAGTATTGAATTTTTTTTCCTTAATCTTTGGACAGAAATATGTTTGAAAACTGTACAAGAATGAGGAAAAGGAGGGAAACACTTAATAACTTAAATGTTAAACATAACTGCAATATTTATTCTTCAATTGTTAAAAACTGGATAATTTTATAAAAAGGTGAAAATGAAAAGTGACCTTCATCATTTAGAAAGAATTTCAAATCATTTTGGCAGTTCCACAATGTAAAACTGACCCAGTTGAGGGCTTTCAAAATGTCTGTCAGAACAAGTCTAAAGAAATGTTTTCCATCTTTGCTTAAAAAATTTATTTAAATTTTCTCTAACACTATAAAAAAAAGTTATCAGAACTTAATTCTAAAATATATGACCAAAAAATGCTCAAAGAATAAACTAAGAAAAAGAAAAAATATTACCATTTCAGCTTCTTTAAGACGTGACTCATTTTTTGCAATGAGGGAAGCCAGATTCAAAAAGGCATTCAGATGACTGGGAGCAACTCTAGCAGTGTAAGTCTTTCCTGTCAAACATTTGAAAGAATGAGAAAATGCTTAAAGTCTAAAAAACAATAGAAAAATGGCTTTAGAAATCCAGACACAAAGTGAAATTGTTTTCTGCCTGGCATGAATGTTTAATATCAAATTCATGATAATTTTAGTTTATGTAAAAAAAAAAAAAAAAAAAAAATTATTTTTTTTTTACTTTTTCCTTTTTCTTTGAAAAACAAATTGGAATCAAATACTTTGAGGATAAACTTTTCAGCAAAAGAGTTTTATATTTAACCCTTTAGCTTTCAACATGCTCAAACCCACCCCACAAATATCAGCTCTGAATGTCTCACTATTTGCATGGCTGCCTGCATTATTTGCAATGATGTCATTCTATATTATGGCAGAGTATACATGGGGAGGGGAGAAGGGTTGAACATTGGGAGCCAATATTTATATTTAAGCTGAAATTATTCTATGCCTTCCACAATGACAATACAGTCAATCATTGTCTTTTTCTTGCAAACACTTGCCAGTTGTTTGCACATCATTTATGCTCCTTGAAGAAAACAAAAATTCTTAGAATTAAACTTATCTAACATCATTTGCCTGAATATTTTTGAGGGTTAAGATTATCTTCAGACAAAGTTACTGAGTAAGAATGACAAGAGATTACCTGGAATGATTGGTGGAAATAAAGCAATGGCATCACGGAAAGCAGCTTCAGCCTCAACTGACATATTCAAACGATTATAAGTTCTACCAACATTGATGTGAGCGCCAATGTCATCCGGTTGAACTCTGTAATAAAACAGTAACAAAAATAAAGATCAGAGAAAGACCAATTTGAGCTGCAGAAATAATTCTATTATGTGAAGAACAGATCCAGATATTGCCACATTTGCAAAATCTGGATCTGTTCTGTGGCAAAATAAAACACCCTAAATATACATCACAGATTTTATAAACCAATTGCTAGTAGTTAAGTTAGAAGGTAATTAACTAGGGGATAACAGAAAATTAATTGGAGCCCTCCCCACCAATTCAAAATACACATGTTCATCCCAAAAATGATGCCAACAAAAACATAGTTAAATGCTAACAGGAAAGTGGCTAAGCTTATAAATTGAGATAAGAAAGAAATTTAATCCTGTGGAAAAAGTTAAATTAGTCAGTGTTTTACGGTTCCAAAACAGGTGAAAAGTGGTACATTGATATTGGCATCAAAGATATCATAATGAAAATATGTCAAACAAAAGAAAAGAAAAACATTTAACATTGTTGCCTGCTTTGGAGAGAAGATGGATGAGAATTTGAGATTATTGACACAAAAAGAAAATCCATCAGTATTATTATAATCTTTGAAGTCAAATCACTCAACTAAAGATGGAGTAACAAATTCCAATAAACGCTTTTGTTTCAGAGTCAAGCAGAAATACCAACATGTTTGCTATTTCTAAATTCATCTTTTAAACAATATCCAGAAATCAGAAGGTCAGTTGACAGTGAAATAAACCAAAGTATATTTTAAAAAAAAAAAAAAAGTATGATACAATGGGACTTGACTTTGCATGTTTTCCAATACATCCCCCTTAAATGATTTTACTTGTCTAAAGTGTCTAGTGTTTAAAATAAAATCTACAAATCAATAATATGCAGACAAAAAAGGAATTAAATAGATACATGAAAACTTTCAGGAAGAAATGACACTTTCCTGGAAGTTAGAAAGTTCTGCTCAGGCTTATATAAACAGTCACAGTAAAAATTGAAAAGATATCCAATGCCACCTGTTAGAGATTAGTTTCAAGCCAGTCTTCATTGGCTGGATGGAAGAACTTATGTTAGTTTGTCATGATAGTAGTAGCCAAGTTGTCCCAAGAGTCACGTACCTACCTACCCACCCACCCACATGCTATGCAAGTGAATCCCTAAATTAATCAACTGACTATATGGGAAACAGTATTCATGTTTTTCACTTCTCAATGCAGCATTATATCCCTCTTATAAATGTATTCTGGACCTTTCCCAGTTTCTGTGCAGACTGACACAATATCATTTTAATTGTCTAATTGGTGAAAGACAGAAAAATAACCATTGTATATTTACAAAAGTAATGTTGCCGACTTCAAGGATTTATCATTTGTTATTGATATTTGTCACCATGTTTTCATTTGTCTTGAACCTTTAAATAAATCGATTTTTGTAGTTGATTCAAACTTTGTTGAAATGACTGGGAACATAGCAGGCAAATGTTTGACAAGTGACCTTGATGAAAAGATCACTGATGTAAAGGAAGAGGGGGAGAAGCAGCCTATATATAACCTTCTCTATATTCTGTCACACTCTATCAAAAGACCACAAAGAGAAAGAGAGAGATGAAAGAAAAATTTTTTTATTTCAATATATTAAACCATAAACAGGTTGTCTCTTTTCTTCTTTCTTTACTATGTGTGAGGCACGTCACCACCTTGATAAAGACATGTCAACACATTTGATAAAGATGGATGACTGATCAAAAATGAAAATTCGCATGAGTAGTGATTACGGATTTGTAAATCCCTTTTAAGAATGACTAGTCATTAGGGTGGGTGGGGGGCAGTGTGCAATGATTTTACAAGTAAACATTTCATTCAAAGGAATAAAAATTCCTTTGGGTCAAATCTAGCAGTGTTGTTCCGTTTTCAGTGGAACTGCCTGAGAAAATTCTGAAGACAATGGTTCAGTATTTTTCTCACAAAATATATCAATTCCTTTCCACATCCATGAATGTCAAAGTTCATTAAATACAACAAATTGGACCTAGAAATAAAACAAAAAGAAGGCAAATGTCATTTTCAAAAATCAACCTACACACCAAAACTTTTCAAATACTAAAAAAACATCCTCAAAATATATTGATTCATTTTCTTGAAAGTTATTAAAAAACTTAAGCTGTTTTTTATAATTAAGAGAAAAAAAAATAGAATCATGGGATTTGATTGGAGAAGAAAGTTTCTGGCTACATGTGCTACAATTTTAAAAGTTCACTTTGAGCAAAAGGGACAAAAATGTCCTTTTTGAAATGTCAAGAGTTGTGTGTTCTGTGCATTAACTCTTTGTTTGCTGTGTTTTGCATTCTGTTCATTTCACACACATGCAGAATATGCAAAGGTTTGAATGTAAGAGATGGGAATCCGTCTATAAAGATAGAGATGCTGAGTGACTGAAAATTGACCCACTTACTTGGCAGCAGCCTTGAAATATTCCAAAGCTTCTTTCCACTGGGATTTCTTTTCCAAGGCATGGCCAACATTATTGAACAGTTTGGCATTTTGTTGATTAACTTTCAAAGCCGACTGGAATAGAGTGTATTCAGATTCCCTGAAAAAGAAGAAAAATTATAGAATTGGCAGAAGAAGCTGGAGAAAAGACAGCTTGGAAATTTTAAGTAATTGTACAGTGACTCACCAATCAAAATTTCGAATTATGGTCTTTAAGCCATGGAACGTTATTAGGCATCCCAGGAAGAACCAAAGAAGAATCTTCAATTTCCTGAAAATAAAAGACTTGATGAATACAAGAAAACAAAAAGTCCTCTTAAAGCCTTTTACACATAAAATGTTTGAGCCAGTAAAACAATAACTCAGTCGTCTTAAAATTTGAGTCTGTAATTTCTAGTCTTTTCAATAAGCACAGTTCTTTCTTCTTCATTTAGCGCTTCAATCAGAGTAACAAAAAGACAAACAAAATCGCATTAAAGTACTGTGTAAAATGTGATTACAGAAACTGCAAATTTATCTCAAAGACCAGACTGACACTGACAAAATTTCTACCAGAATTTTGGACTAACAAAATCTCCACTAAATGTAGCAAGCATCTTTGATCAAGATAAACAGGTCGCTATCAGTCAAAGAAGTGTAAGTCTATTCTATCTTCTATTTCCACATAAGAGATTTCCACCTGATGATTACTAACTGCATGAAACTCAAGGAGTTGTGAATTTGGTATGTAGAAATGCTATTTCATCATGTGCTTGTATACATAGGCTCTGTCATTTGGCATTAAACAATTGGTCTTTAATATTGTTAAGTGTTTATATGTTTTTTGATATGCAATTGTGCTGATAAGTTTTTTCCTTAGTGCCTTGACTGCATGAATTTAAACTTGCTACTAGATTGGCAACTAGGCCTTTACGGGTTTATTGTTGAACTAGCTAGATGCAAATGTTTCTTCTATTCTAACAGTTTCTTTTTATGCACTTCTCATCTGTGGAACTATATTCCTTGACACCTATATTCTTCAAAAATTTAAATAAAATGTCAATCGCCATCTTCCTGAAACCTATTCTTTTGTCTTCTCTAAAGTTTTCTTATTCTCTTTCACTTCCTGTAATCCCCTGTATTCTAGTGGCATTATTGCTTTGCTTGGGGTGAAATGATTATATATATTAAAATCGCACAAAGTGATGGTGGTAATAATAAAATAGTATTTAATACAAAATAACAGTTAAAATTTATGCTAATAATAAATATATATTTGTTTCTTCACTTTATATATATATATAAAGCATATACACTTCCTCACTGATGCAGAAATTAAAATTAATATACCCATAAAATAATACATTCTTCCTTAACAAAAATAATGCTTCTCCTGCTCACAAGTAAATACAAATGTTTTACAATGTCAGTCATTCTTACATCAGCACAAAAAAAAAAAAAAAAAAAATCATTTCCTCAAAATTATTTTCTAAAAGTCACTACAAAATTATTGGTGCTGAAAAGTAAAATTTCTAAAAACACACACAAAAGAAGAATTTGCAGTCCTCTCTGTATTGATACATGTCACAAAACAAGATGCAAAAGAAATATTGGATTTGCAAGCAAGGACAAAGGGGTCATTTTCAGAAGGGAAACCTAAGGCTTGAACATTCAAAGAATTGCTAAAAGAATTGCTTGAACTGCTAGGAAAGTTGCTTCACTGTGTTGTACATGCAAGACATTTTTTCTCATCAGAATCCATCTTGCACATTTACAAATCTACCAATTGTCTGTGCATTGAATATTGCTGCCATATTTGGTCTGGTGCTCCTGTCATATACATCGAGATGCTTGACTAAATTCAAAGAAGGGTCTATAAGGTCATCAGTCCTGACCTGGCATCTCAACTTCAGTCACTTTTCTCACTACTGTGACATTTAAGCATAGTATGATAATGGCGACCAGGTTTCATCATTTTACTGTTGAATTAGCAAAAGATGTAACCTTAACTTCTAATCGTTTCATTTCCCATCTATGGAACTCTATTCTGGTTCTTTGCTTCCCTGCCACCTAAATCTACAAAACTTTAAATGCAGCATTAATTGCATTACAATTTTGTTAGTAGCAATTTCATTATTTTAATACATTTTCTTAAGTTCAGAATATGGGAAAAAAAAAAGTCCTCACTGGGTGCCACTAAATATGACATAAAACAGGTAAGATAAAAAAAAAAAAATAAAAGCAATGAATTGAATTCAAAAGTATCATTTCACTAGTTTTTAATTCATTTATTTTTTATACTTCTAATGTAATTAATATAAAAAAATAAAATTCATGCTACTAAGTTTCATAAAATAGTAAAGAATAAAATAATATCTTATTGGTTATATAAGGTTAAACATAAATTCTCTTTAAGAAAAACAATACCAATTTCTTAATTATTGCATAGCTGGTGTTCAGTATTTCTTCTATTTAAAAAAATTGTGTGCGCTTTTTAAGAGTCAGGGATGACAATAGAAAACTGCTGTTGATGACAGCTCACAAGCTACTTTACATAAATAAACGTTATTTTCATTGCTTTAAGCACAAAGTAAACATTACTTTAACAGAATCCAGTTTTATACATCTCTAGAACATGTAATTGATTAAGAGATTTTTAAATGTTTACATTTTCCGCCTATAATGTTGGTTCGATGAGTGATGAATGAACGTGAGAATGTTTTTAAAAATATCTGCAAACTTTATTTACAAATGGAAATTTATTTCTATTTTCATATGAATTAGATTTTCATAAAGCTAAAATTTAACTTCAAGATATTCAAATTATTTTTAAATGCTTTTTTTTTTTTAAAAAGGTTTTTAGCTCAAATTCTGGTGGTAAGAATCGTTCAAAGCACAATCACTCCAAATTTTTTCTTTATATTTTGTTTTCAGTTTCATAAAGCTAAACAAAATTAATTTCTTTCGTTTATTTGCGCATAAGAAAACATAATTTCAAATAAAAGAAAAAAAAATAAATATCTTTCATTTTCTAAGAAAAAGAAAAAAATCTAAATGAAATATGAAAACATCAGCAGTTGAAAAGGGAGGGAAATCGTCAAAGTTTTAAGATTCGTTTCCCTTGAACTGCCGACACAATCGACCATTAAGAATTGAGTCAACTTTGAACAGAAAAAAAATGAGGATTAATTCAAGAAAAGTATTTCATCATTCATGACGTAGATTTGAATTAAAGTTATTTTTACTGTTTTCAATTACTATTTCGCTAAATATTTTTATTTTATGTATTTACATTAGTGTGGGTCATACTTCAATTGAGTAATCATAGTACTTCATTTGTTATTAAATTATAAAATTAATTGAAGAAAATTTTATAGTATTTTAATTTTAATTATTTATTATTTTTGCATGTTCAAAAGTCAATAAAATATTAAATAATTGTGAAAAATATGTTCATTTGTAAAAATTACTAGGTAGTTAAAAAAACAAAATGCATTCACTTAGATTTCTGACAAATATGTCAATTCGAGTCATCCAAAGTAGCTGTCATCGCTTTGTCTATCAGCAGTCCATCAAACGTTGGATCAGATGGACAGGACCAGTCATTAAAAGCTAAAATGAAATCTTCAAGAAAGCTTTTTCATTTTTAAAATTTAATTTTAAACCATAGATATCGAAAATTTATGCCAAAAAAGCAGAGGTGCCTACTAGGATCGCTAAAAAAAGAGCATAGCATGATGAAAAAGATGCCAAACTTGATGAAAACAAAATTTTATCATCTAAATGTTTATGTTATTATTAAGAGGAAAGACCAAAGTATTTTTTAAAATTTTTCCTTCTTTTTAGAACATTCTAAATTTTGATTAAAAAAAAAACTTTTTTCTCTTTGTATCACCGGAACTAGTAAAATAACAGACAATTTTTAGCACGTCTTTTTTGTATGACACACATTAATTTGAAAAATCTTGCAAAAATAAAAATAATTGTCGGATGTTAATGAAACTTCCAGAAACTATTCACAGATGATCATATTATAAATATGTTTTTTTTTTTTTATTAAAGTCATGGCAGAAATATTTTTTTATATTTATTACCCCCCTATAACTAATTTTATGAAACCCTAGAAATTCGATCAAATTCAGTTTAGTGATTATATTAGTTAAAAGCACGAGGCTTTGAGGAAAGCAAATCATCTTTTTTTTTTAATTGGACCCCCTCTACCTGAAAATCAGCCCTGAATTGTAACATACAAAACTCAATAAAACAAAAATATTATTTAATTTCAAATACTTTTATTTGCTTTTAGTTGCTTTTACGGATATGGACAATATTTTCTGAAAGCAAAAAATTTTTTCAATGAAAAATGAATTTTTAATACAATTATTTGTTATTTCTTTAATTATTTTAGATTTTTACATTTAAGTTGTTAAAATATTATAAAATTAGTTGAAAGCTGCATTCACTTTTGTAAATGTCCTTATGAGATAGATCATTTTTTAGCGCTTTGCAAATTGTATCGCTTCATCCAATCAGAAGACCTGCAGTCAATAATAAATGTAGTTTTGTGTTCATAAAAGTCATTAAAATAGCTGTAATTAAAAAGTACAGATGGTGACAAGCAATAAAACGTCATTGGCTTGAGTGTAAGCATTCTCCACTGAACATCCATTTCATTATTGCAAATTCTTCATGCGAAACACATGCTGAGCATTTTGAAATATTGTTTTTACTAATTAAAAAAATTTGAACACCATCCAAAGCCATTTTCAGCAGCGACATCACTACATTTTTAAAAGTACCATTTATTTCATTTATATATTTCATTGCAATTTCAATTTTGTGAAGTTGTTTTACAGTTTTCAGTGAGTCGTGTTATTTCAATTTTATGAAATTTAATCTCACTCTCAACAATCTTATTTTAATTTCTTTATAATATATTTTCTATAAAGCATTGTAAATGTAAAGGTGAAAGCTAAGTACAAAAAAAAATAGAGCGCTGAAAGTTTTCCTTAGAAATAACAAGGTAAATAATTTGTTCACTTAAATCTAAATAATTTCACTTCTCTCCTTCCGTAGAATAAATTATCCTCACGTAAGCTATCAATACATCATGAAAATGTCTTTTGTCACCTGTCAAGTGACATGAAATGTTATGACCTGCTTTGTTTTATTTTTAAACTACATCTTTTTGGTGCAGAAACTAAGTTAAGCTAGTTTCAAGATATTTTAAATAAACATCATAATTTCTGATTTTCTTAAAATAAGATTTGAAAAAATGATAATTGATTTTTAAAAGTATTTCAAACTGAGATTTTCATTTTTTTTATAAAAAAAATGGTTGACATGATTGATTATCTGTCAGTTTTTCTAACTCAAAAAAAAAAAGAAGAAAAAAAAAAAGATTTTTAACGAAAATTTTGGACATGCTATGGACAATTAAAAAATGTAAAAAAATACCCCCAAAATACTTTGATCTTTCCTCTTAATAATAACACAAACATTTAGACGATAAATATTTGTTTTCATCAAGTTTGGTGTCTTTTTCGTCATGCTATGCTATTTCTTAGATTTTATTTCTTTAGACAATAATGTCCTTAATATAACTTATTTACAAAAGCAAATCAGACAATTATTTGATTTTTACAAGAATTTCAAAATCAATGTGTTTCAACAGAAAAAAAAAGCGCAAAAATGTCAATGTTATTATATAGCCAACACGATGACGTAAACAAAAGAAGATTTTAACCAAAATTTCAAACGTGTTAGAAAGGATTAAAAAATTTCAAAAAATAATTAAAAAATACTTTGGTCTTTGATCTTAATAACAAACATTTTGACGATAAAACTTTATTTTTATCAAGTTTGTGTCCCTTTTCATTATGCTATGCTGTTTTCTGCAAAAAAGTGGAGGTACCTAGTTTGAAGAAACAAATATTTTACAAATGACACAACCATCAAGTTTTTGAACACTTGAAAGTATTAAAAATGAACTTATGAAGAAGAGGAATTAAAAATGTGAATAGATGTAAGAATTAGATTTGAATATCAATGACAACTTCATGTTTTTGTTTTTCCTCTCTTTTTGGCAGAGAGACAATATAAATGAAGAGATTCCTACCATGAGGCAATGTCTTCAAAATGCACATGACAAGAATCATTACTCATTTTGACATCTTTGTATGCAAAACACAGTATTTTGGCTTTATCCATATGTATGCACCCAACCACACATTATAAACCAACTTCATGTCATATTTGCCCTGAGAAGTTTAAAGTCTGGAGATGGATGTTTTTCGTTTTTTTTTTGGTAGAAAAAGCAGTTGGAATTTGCAAGCAAAAGAGAAAGAAATTAGAAAGAAAAAAAGACAATGCAAGAAAACTTTCCTTATAAAAAATGAAAATGATTTCAAAAGTTCACCTTCAATATATCAAAGAGGTCATTTCAGTTGCCCAAGGGGGGCAGGGTGTGTTTCTTCTTACTTCTTACTCTACTTTTGTTACATTTAGGAATTAGAATCAAAAAATTTAATTCTATATTTTATCTGCTTTGAAAAATCTTTTTCAGTTGTTCGTCACTTGGGAAATTATAGCCACATAATTCAATGTTGAATATTTTTAAATACACTCACCTTTTTTTTTTTTTTTTTTTTTTTTTTGATAAAGGCTTAAAATGGGAGCAGAGAGTTCATTTTCATATCAATGTGTACACACACGCATTGATTTATTTTGTTTTTTTATAAATAAGATATGAGACTTTTGGAAATCTGCATCAGACATCTTCAATTCCTGTGGAAAGAAAATGTATAACAATAACCAATGGTCAAAACACTTACTTTTTGTGGTCAAGCAACAGCTGAAAGCCGAGAGCAACAAGCATGCAGAATCCCATACTCGGAGCATAAAGAATTCTCTCCGCTACAACAAAGCCAACAGGAAAGAAAAGATTGGAAGCTGGGATGAAAGGCAGAATAAGTAGAGTCAAACCCTGGAAGAGAAGAGAAAAGAAAAGCAACAACTTTTATTTCTCACTCAAAAAACATTTGGAAAGCACACCACAGTCAATAAAAACAATTTGTTAGATTGTATTTTATCCTTGTTGGAGTGGAATAGCCAACATGTTGGTCTTATAGTATTGACTTTAATCATCACTGAATGCTCCGTATTTTTAGCCTTGTGCCAAAATTAAGCTATGCTTAATAAACAACTACTAGTTTATCCATAAATCTGTCATTTTATCTTCAGCAATTCACCATGACTAATGTTTTGGAATTAAACTAATAAAAAATATGAGGATAAAGGGAAATTGAGAATTCTCAAGTCTCCTGTTGGGTACATGACATTTTTTAAAAAATCATTTCACGCCAAGCAAGGTGATAATGTCACTAGGATGCAGGTGGTTACAAAGAGTGGAAGAGAACAAGAAGACTGAAGTGAGGAGAAAGGACAACGAAAGAACAGGATTCAGGAAGACAGAAGATGGTAATTGGCATTGTATTTCAATTTCTGAAGATTGTAGGCAGCAAGGAAAGCAGGAAACCAGAAGAGAAAAGAAACTCTTAGACTGGAAAATACAGTTGCATCTCGGTAGTTCAACAGTAAAATGGAAAACGATGAGACTTAATTGCCAGTCTTAGTAAGTACATTTAAATGTATGCAGTTGAGGCACCAAGGAGGAAAGCTCATCGCAACAATTACTATGAAAATATTTGTAGAAAAGACAGAGGGAAGCAATGTCATGACAGGTGAGAAAATGACTGAAGTCAAAATGCCAGGCCAGAATCAAGAATTTTGTCAAGAATCCCAAGATATATAGTAGGAACACCAGACAGATATGGCAGCAATATTCAGTGCATGGACAAATGTTAAATTTATAAATGTGCAAGAAAGATTCTGATACAGCACAGTGAATGAATGTTCCTAGCCGCAGATCTAGCAATTAATTCAATATAATCACTCCTCATTCATTTCAGTGGAAAACATGAATCCAAAAGGAACAGGGTTGCCCCTCCTCGAGTTTAATATCAGACATGCAGATGACAGGCAGAAAAGGTTCTCTATAGTGATTAAATGAAACCAATTTTGTTTTGGAGGAATTAAAATTGACAGGCCATTCCTTGCCGCAGTTAACCCTTGATTCAAGGTCCTTTTCAAGAGCAGTTGCCAGTTTTGCTTTGTCAAAACTGTTGGACTTGCTACAATGACAGTAAAGTAAATAATTGTGACATCAGCATAAATTTCTAGTTGGGAAACACAAGTCCAAAGAAAGCACCCTTGTAGACACCTGCATTAATATAAAATGAACAGGCATATCTGTTCAACACAACCTTCATTACACAATTTGTTAGGAATGAGTGAATTAAGCAAAATATTTGTTCAGAGACACTGTAAGCTCTTGAGCTTGTGGAGAAGACCAGCATGCTAAACCCTGTTAAACACTTTTGAGATATCTAGAGCCAAAGCCTGAGCTTTGCAATTCTTATCTAAAGCTTGATAGACAAATTCAGTGATGGACATTAACACATCAGCAAGAGGTTTTCCAACAAGATGGAAAGCAAGAAGCAGGGAGGCATTTATTGTAAAATTTGGAAAGAACAGGAGTCAATCCAGGAGCACATTTCTTTAGGGCAATTGCAGGGATACCATTGAATCTGCAAGCCTTGTGAGGATCTAGTTTAGAAATGACAGCAGAAACAATTGGCAGAGTAATATGTATATCACTCAGTAGAGACTCTGTTTTAGGGGAAGAAAAAAAGGTAGAGATACTCCAGATGAGTTAAGAGGCAAAGCACTTAGCTTTATCTGCAGTAGATGACATTTCAAATTGATTGAAGAGAGGAGGGACAAGGATTTGCTCTTGTTTAGTACACTCTTACAGAACTACCAGTAATCTTAAGAACCAAATTTGTGAGAGACTATATGGTGTCTCATTCTATAAGCGAATAGTGATTGCCTCTGAGGACACGCTTATACTCATTACGTGTGGTTACAAAGAGGTGTCCGTTATAATCAGACTTGTCATGTTACTATAGACAGTAGAAATGATTTCTGTGGGATATACGTGGCTGAACAGGCAGGAGAGAACAAAGGATAAGATAGTGGTTTCATGTGGTATTTCCATGATGACACTAAAAATTTGATGTCAGCTTTCACCCAGGAAGAGTGGCACATTTTTCAACAGGACAATTAGAATGTTGATAACAAAGATGTTCTGTTAATTGGGGGGCCCATGCCTGATAATTGAATGAAAGGCATTACCATGTGTGGCACCTTGCATTATTAGAAATATTCCTAGAAATATGATTTAATTTTTTCTTACTCAGTTTATTAAACAGGTTGTTAATTTTTTTTAAAAACGGAAAATAACTGAGTTGAAAAATAATTCACTAAGAGTGTACTAGACGATCCTAAGGAAAGAAGAAGGAAAGAAAGAAAAAAGGAAGGAAGGAAGAAAAGAAAGAAAGAGAAATGTATGACGATGACCCAATTGAGGGTGGAGATAGGAGTCAGAAAGAGATTTAGGTCAGCGTCTTGGCGATTTTCGAAAGAAAGTCATTTTGATAAGAGTGTCGGTCAGAGCACTTGGCCTACTTTTTATTGGAAAGACTCATTGGACAAAGGAAATTTCTTTGTAGAACAATAGAAATGAAATTTTTTAATCAGAGAAAAAAGTGTCTTTGGGTTGAGGGGAGTGACGGTGGAGCGATATACAGACCTGTTAAGAATTGGACACCCACGTTAATAAAGTAGAGACATTTCAATGTAGATAATTAAGATTTTTTCGACTATCAGGTAAAAACAAAGAGGTAAAAAAAGAGGGACAATTGCTTTTGGCTCACAGAGGGCAAAGAAGAAGGAAAAGATCCTTTCTAAAAGTCAAGACTAATTAGCAGCGGGCTGTTTAACAAAGTCCAGGTGAGAGAAAGCCAAGATTGTCATTTTTGCGTACGTGCAAAAAAGGGGCAAAATTGGATTTTGTTTTTTTAAACAAGAACGATGTAACCACGCCAAAACAGAGGGGGAGAGGATGTTCGATCAATAACAATTGGTGAATAATATCGATCACGTGACCTGCGGAAGAAAAGGGAAAGAAATGTTTGATCAATAACAATTGGTCGAATACGATCACGTGACCTGCGGAAGAAAAGGGAAAGAAATGCTCGATCAGGAACGATTGGTTGAAAAGCGGTCACCTGACATACGAGACTAAGAGAGATGGATGCGCGCCGCCCACCAAAGGTACTGCAAAGGAAGTAGGGCGAAAACAATAGCGATAATGGAGAAGACAGAATTAATGCAGTTTTTGGAATTATCGAGAAAACCCTGACGCCCGACAGACCCACCCCCAGTTTGTTGCGGCGTCAATAAAAGCAGGGCCCCAATCGACAAAAATCAGTTCATCCCCGGACGGCAGCGAAAAAAGAACCCTCAGACAAGAAGAACTTCCAGCCCAAGTAGAAGAAGAAGAAGAAATATCAACTCAAGTCAAGAGAAGAATCAACTCAAATCTGAAAAATGATCGATAGAAATTAGCCCCAGTGTCGAACTGAACCACACTCCGACATACATACATGATTCTAGAAAGTAGGTAATTCGACATTTTCCTATTGTGTGATAGAAGCTTGGTGCCATAGTCCACAGAGCGGGTCGGGAATTGAGAACAATTTTGTTTTTATGTAACGGACTTTAAGATATAAAAGGTTGTTACCCTTTTTTATTAGCAATTTTGTTTGGTGTCGGAGTTTTTATTTTATTTGTGTTTTGCCACCCCGTCGGACTCAACTTGTATCGGCCCCGATCCCTGCTGGTCCTGTCTGTCTAAGATCTAAACACAGCGTGGGTAGACAGACCGAGATCGGGTATAGTTGCTTTAGTGACCAGGTATTGGAAGCGAGTCGGGAAAGGCGAGGCTGGTGATCATCTGACCAAAGGGGTTGGAGCGGCACGCTTGGACCCAGGAGGAGCGACCAGGAGGAGCGACGTCACCGTTGGCGCCGTGACCAAAGGATCCGACACTGGGCCAGGTGTGTAACCGTCACAAGTGGTGCCGTGACCAGGATCAACCCTGAGACAACCGTCACACATGTGATCAAAGTTGCCAAGAGGACAGAGCACGACACAGGGAGTAGGTAAGAAAGAGATCAAGTAGAGAAGTGTGTCCATCAGAATTACTAGGGAAATGTATAGTGAAGTCTACTATCTCAGCGAGAGAGAGAACAATTGAGACATTTAAAGTCTGGATGTTGTGAGATCTGTAAATAGCAACTCCATATCACCAAAGACAAAAAGCTAAGAACTAAAATCCATTCACCAAGACTATTACTACTACTATTAAAAACAAACATACTTTCACAGAGATTATTCCACAACTCCAAGATTATAAAAAAATTAGAAAGTAAAAGATTTCGATTGTAAAACAATTATTGATAAACACTGAAGAGATGTTGGTATTTGTCATGGTTTATGACAATAATTCTTTCAGTTTTTTCCCCTCATCTGTCAAGTTGAAATCAAATTACCAAAAAGGTAGCTTTTAGTGATTTTCAGGTAAACTTTTAATAGTCCCCATTAGATGTAATGCGACTTTGTAACTCCTTTTGCTGATATTATGACCCAGGTGCAGACAAATGACTATATTAGTGTCGAACAATACAAGACAAAAACCAGAAGACTTCTACCAAGACAAGAATCACATTTGGTATCAAGAGATACAAGTGAAGGCTTACTTCACTATCCCCTGCATTTCCTTGTGTCTTATATTTTCCCCCCACTCATTCTTACATACTTGTCACCAAAGTTACCTTAATTAACAAATGAATTATACTTGTCATTGATTAAATTGACACCTGGGGTCTCCAAAGACTGTCCCATTTTTCTTCCTTCCTTCCTCACTTGAATGTTGAAATAGATATATAATTACTTTTTACTAAAAGACAGAAATGTTTTGAGTAAGAACAAAGAAAATTCATCACACATTTTAATTCCTGTCAATATTAGCAATTCACAAAGAGTCAAAGAGAAATTTTGTTAAATTAAATGCAGTAAAAGAAGAAAAATTGATTCACTTAGAATTATCTTCTATGAATTCCAAAGTGTACATCATTTTGAAAAGGCAGAACAAGATTCAAGTACAAACCATGATGACAGCCCTTCCACGAGGTCCTGGTTCCAGGAGACCAAACACAATAAATCTGAAGAGGACAATGTAGAAGATGAGGGTAAACAAGTTTCTATAATCCAAGAAAGACTGAATCAGGGGTATTGTCCCCATTGTCCAATCACAGCAGAGGGATGAAGGGAAAAACAACAGCCATTGGTTGACAGGCAAAAGGTAATTGAATGTCAGCTGACGAGTTGGTGTACCAGCAACAGATGCAGGATTGTCAAATCTGCAAGAAAGACAATAAAATTGGCCCCAACGACAAACAGCAAGTAGGAGCAAAGAAAAAATATATTAATCTTTGAATAAATTATTTTTCTCAAAGGTTTTATTGTTTACAAAAAGTTTATAAATTCAAATTCAGGGGGGTACTTTACAATGGAATAGATGGCAAGTAACTCCCACTGATCATTACGATTATATGGGTGTGGTTTCATTGTTTATTTCATCTTTCACTTATTTATAAGTTTTATATTCCCTAAAGGTTTATTTTTATGGCCATATCACACTGAAACATTGGTTCTCATATGATCAAAGTTTAGCAATGGCAAGTCTAGGAACTGAAATTGAAAATCAGAGAGCAGAGTTCCAATTTCAGTTAGGTTCATTATATTCATTTATGCACAAATAACCCTGGGAAAGGCATGAATCCACCTCTTCTCCCCCTCCCCCACAGCTATGGGTTAATTAATAAGATGTGTATCAGTAAATTATCATCATCTCAAAAACATTCTGACAATCTAAAAATATTTTCTGGTTTTAAATAACTTGCAAAAGGTTGATAAGCCATAAAAAAAGCAATTCAAGCTAAAGAGTTAACGCTGAGATGTAAGACTATAAAAAACAGAGCTGAGAAATCAATCTCATTTTGAAAATATTTGACTTTATTCCTATTCAACATGAACTGGGTCTTGAATCTTTTGATGATCTTGTCTGCCAATTAATGGTTACATTGGAACATTCTCCAAATTCATTCTTTGAATGATTTGGCAAAGCAGGACTTGTTGATGAAACATTTTCTCTCTTTTGTGCTCAAGTTCATTGCTGAATGCACGAGTTATGAAAGTACAATTTCCATTCTTCAAAAACAATGTCAAGGTCAAAAAGGGAGATTTTGCTTGGTATGTACTAGTTAACCAAAAACAGTAACTTGTTGTCTCTACTATTCTCAATTGGGACAGCCCAATGATCCTTGGATGATCTAAATGTATATGTCACAAGCCCAGTAAAGTTGATAAAGCTGGGAATTTAGTCTTGTCTGGAAATTAAATTCCCCTCCTACATCTAATTTGTGATATTTTGCCATTCGGGGGTAAAGTTAATGTCAACACATCCACAAATCAAATGTTATTAGGAAGAAGAACTGAAATAAATCAAACAATAAAGCGTACAGATAAAAATGAATAAATTCTACTATTCTAACCACCCCACCCTGGTCAGAAATACAATTTCAGATCTTCAAAGAAGCTTTTTTCTTAGTGCAAGATTTAAAATGAAAAGCAATTATCTTAGACTCCAGTAACATTTCAATTGTGAATTTAATGTTTGATCCTTTTTTAGAAAAGCAGTGGAAAATTATTGCATTTATTTTGGAAATTTAGATTCTTTCGTTGTCAAATTTGCTTTCATTTTTATAAAAATTCATTCAACTGATTTAATAAAAAATATTGTTTTTTTTTTTGCATTTACAGTGCTAAAGAAAGCCAGTCTCTCATCTTAGCAAAATTGTTTTTACTTATAAAGAAAATAATAGGAAAATAATCTATAGGACAAAATTAACATTCTTAATGTTCTGAATAATGTCAAATAATTTTGTATAAATATCTTCCCCAAATCTCTTTGATATAAGCATAGAATCTGAACAACTGTGTTAAAATAAAAAAAAAAAAAAAGGCAGCAAACAAAATACTTATTGATAACTTTTTTCCAAAAGGCATAAAATCCCCAAATTTGAGCCTTTATACTTACTTGGTGAACACTGGCAATTCAGCTCCCATGACTTTAATTCTAGCTAGTAACAAGAAGAGAGTGCTGCTGACTAAAAACAAAGACCTTAAAATGGCACTCCAGAGCCAAGGAGGAGGCAAGGATTTGCCCTGCAGGAACTTATAAACAATATCATAAATTTCTTTAAGTGTCATCTGTAAAGAAAGAAAGAAAAATCTGAAGTAAGAAAAGAAAAAAATATTTACACAATATTTGCAACAAAAATCCGATCTTGCAACTGATAATAAATTATAAACGTATTCCTTTCAGAGAAAAGGAACTGTCCCTATTTCATAATTGATCAACCAATTTTTTCCTTCCTTATGTCTTCATTAATATCTAAAGAAAATAAATCGTCTTTAGCAATTGTGAAAATATTTTTGTTGTTGAGCAGAAGAAAAATTCCAACAATATCTGTCCAACATTTCCTTAATATTTCAGCCATAAATATGCAGATGAAAATTCATGAAGCAGACAACAATGACTTGTCCATAATTTGATGCACACCAATGCTGACCATGAAAACCATTGTGATCATCGTTTGTTAAAAAGTCTTGGGAAATCTGATGTAACAAGATTAGCATTTTGTAAGACAAGGAAATGAAATTTGCAAAACAAGAAGCATTCAAGGAATGAATGATTTTATGCAAAATAAATCCAGAAAATCTGATTCAAATATATACAAAGAATATTTGGATTTTCAAGGAAATTTTCTATCTATTGATAATTTATCTTCAGTATCTTTACATGTTTGATTTCAGTCTGCTTTCAGCAATCAAAATGTGAAACATTTCAGAAGGAAAATTATTTATCTCCACAATATAAATGAAGAACACAAGACACCTTTTTTTTTTTTTTTTACTTCAACACAAACTAAAGGATTCTTCAAGATACAAAGTTTTTCATTCTTGTAAAAAACTAAGTGTTGATATCATTGGTTGATTTTAACAAACAAATATATCGAGATGTTCACTCACTCTAACAATCAAGTATAAAATAAAGTAAAAACTTGATTATAAAACCAGTAAAAAATGAAACTATAGCCATATTTGCATATCAGTAATAACCACATTTAAAACTTGGGCAAAGTTTCAGCTTTTTCTTTGAAAAAAAGATATCTGCCCACCTATTTTGCCACTACTCCAGCTGACTTAATATAGTTTTTAGTCAGTCTAATGGAAAATCAGGTCAACCCAACAAGAGAATAACAGTTGGTTGTGTGTGGTGTAGTAAGCAACAGGAGTTATGTCCTCTGCCACAATTGGCTGTTGAGAGAGGTGATGCTGACTAAATTTGCATATAAACAATACTGGGCAGGTATTAGCCAATAGTCAGCATGGGTCTGGGACTGAGAGAGACCTTATATAACATCATCATGGGAAGGCACTCTTGATGTGCAGACAGTTTTGCATCAAAGTGCTGACTTGGAGTTTTGCATCCAAGTTGGACTTTACATTTACTTAGAAAACCAGACAAGATGAACACAGTCAGTTCCTGCAGTAAGGAAGGTTTTTGACAACAGAAAAATATTGGTTTATCTCTGTTGTTCCTTGAAAATGAGAAAAAAATGAGATTGACATTTGTCAAGAATTGGGAAGTATTACTCAAAGAATAGGAGAATATGAAAATATCTGATCAATTTGAAATCTACATAACTATTAGCAAATGTTTATTTATTTATTATTATTTTTAAATAAATATGATCCAGAAAAATCAGACAAAGGTAATAAAGCCTAAAAAATGTCAGCATTATTTCTTTAACCTGCCATGAAAAAGAAAAGAGAAAATTTCAGAAATTGGGAAACAAAAAAAACTCATGCATTATTGACAATTTTAATTTGAAGATATTTAAAGACTGTGAAAAAAAAAATGCAGAACTGACCCGTTGTGCAATAAAGACTTCATAGACACAGCAGACACCAATAACAGTAATTCCTTGTTCCTTACATAACATAGCCACAGCCACCAGCATGACGGTGAGCAACAAGGACAGCCAATCTGAAGAGAAACAAAACCAAAAGGGGGGGAAAAATATAATCACCAAGAAACAATAACAATTTTTTTTTCATTTGGGGGGAAAATAGCAAAGAATAATAAAAGTTTTCAAATATCTTTGCTTATTCACAATGTTCACTGACAACATAATCATTTTGACCGACAAAAGCAAGCAGTTTCTTCTCTATTTACCGATTTATAGGATGCACATTTAAAAAAGAGAAACATAGAAATGGTAGACTGCATTCAATGTACTGGTATTATAACTAGGAGGTTTTCTCTCAAAGCTTGAAATAGACAGCTAGGAACAAATTGCAGCAAGTCTCTTACAAGCTGGAAAATATGGCAGTTATTGTCATCAAATTGTTCATCAGTTGCTTCTGCATAGACAAGTCTTTCTAAATCCTTATAAAACAACCATCAGAAGTATTTACAAAACAGTGTGGCACAGAGCCACAAATCTAGAGCACTGTCTTTCCAACTCACTTCAAATGTAATGGTCTGTAAAATTCATCTGCTAATTGCTTGTCTGTAGTAAGGAACATTATCTTGAGAAATAAACCATTAATAGAAGATTGACAAATTTTAAACAAAATAAGAATGCCTTTCAATTAGTCAGTTGATCAGACAACTTATTTTTCATTAAATAATTGATGAGATTTCAATAATCAATAAAAGAGACATCAAAAATAATACTGTTCTTCTGTCACCACTGGAAAAAAAAAAGAGCAGGTGAAACTGATAACCTTCAAACAAGTAGTTCATATGTTGAATTTTGTATTCACATTGTTGAGCTTGATTTTTTTTTCTTTTAGTTTTCAAAAGAGATACTTGATACAAGCAGATGTTGTAGAAACATGCAGTGTGAAGTGACCTTTCAGAAAAGGTTGATGTTGGGTGGGAGTGACAAGAACTTACTTGTTGCTGAGTGATAGGCTGTGGCTTTGGAATAATTCAAGAGAGCTGCTAAATAAAACAATGAAGATAGAGTTTCAGCACGGCCAACAACCCCAGTAACCTACAAACAGAAAATGGATCAGGATATTCAACCTGACAATTCAAAAAGCAAATAAAATAATTATTCAAATGTGTGAAAAGAATGAAAAGAAACATTAGCTTGAAATAGAACCATATAAACTAAATTGTTATTGGTTTAATATTTGACAAAAAAAAAAAAAAAAAACAACAAAAAAAAAAAGACAGTTTCATTATGGAACATTTGAAATAAACATGTCTTGCAACAACACAAAAGTTAATGCATAGATAATACCTTATTATGAAAACATACTTTTTTATTTAAAAGATACATTCATTTTTAGATAAAAAAAACACAAGCAAATACTTCAACATTTGTTGATTTTCCTCCACACCACCAAAGAAATTAGGGACTTGATAGTCAACAACATCATAAAAACTCAAACACTGACAAAATCATCCAACAAGTCTAAACAATCAATAAATCACGTCTTTTTTTTAAAAATTCTAACCTTCCAGATATGTGTTCTTACAAAATTGCTCAGTACTAAAAGTTGACTGATGAGGTAAGATGAGAAACCATCTTATTCAGGAATTGGCCAGAGCCCTCTTTCAGTGAATACAATGTGTTAGCAACTGAGATGAAATGAATTATTGAACTATCAAAGTCAATCTGATAGGAAACTTTTATATAAGCAAGGCGCCACTCAAGGTAGAAGGTTACAGAATAAGATACACAGCTTATGTGGATAAGTTAACAGTTAACCCTAGACTTGAACAGTTTAAAATTGTAGTGATCAGAGAAGCGTACCCTTAGGAGTTGGTTCTACAGAGCAGCGGTTTTTGGGAAGAAGTTGCCCAAGTGGTACCGACATCTCACTAAAAGAATTTGTAGGGAATGAGGGTGGTTCACTACAATTTGCATGGCATAGCTGGTCTTAACTATGAAGGTAAGACCTGGTGGAACTAAGGAATTTAGTTCATCCAAATACTTTCCATGGAAATATATGAGAGGTTGGCAATGTTTCATCTGTGAGAAAGGAGTTTTAGGGTGGAAAATAATTTGTCACCCACAAGGATGTGGATACACTTTTGGATACTATCAAGGGTGGAAAGTGAAAACTGGGCAGCTCCTTCCCATATATGGCAGCAGTACTCCATTTTCAGCCTGATCTGGCACTTTTAAAGGTAAAGGATAGCAGGTGGAGTCAGGTAGAGGGAACCAACCATTTTTCCAGCCTCTTTAGTAATAGATCATATGTAAAAGTTCTATTTGAGGTTTGGGTTGAGTTTATTGATCTCATAACAAAACTAATTATAAAACCACCAAAAAACAATTAAAAAAATTAAACATTCAGATTTGTTTTATTTTGGTTGGTTGGTTGATTTCTCAACAATGCAACATTAAAGTAGCAGCAGCCAACAAAGACAAAACTAAAAAGATTCATTGTTGAACACAGAGTAAAAATTATATGCAGGCTAATTAAAAGATTGCAGAAAAATTAAAGAGAATTTTCATGATAGTTCCTCTAAAATTTTTATACATTATTAGAAGTATTGTCAACCATTATGAATAGATTTGAACTGAGGGGCTGAATAGTTTTAATGAAACGAAACTAAAATGAAGATGAAAGAAATGCCAGTTGAAAATAAAAGCAGTATTATAATTTGATGATCATCAAATTCATTTTTTGACCAATTTGCTAATAGAGTAAATTTAAGCTTCATTAATCGCCCTACTAAAGTGGCCTTGTGCCAATTGGGTCTGCTCAAGGCTGACAAGAGTTTTTGCTGTTGCTATCTGAGCAATTATAAGAGAATGATTCACTCAGGTTTTCTTTCTGTGCCAATATTAAGATATTTTATCAATAACTGGCCAATGGACAGAGTACAGGGAAAGGTGGATTCTTGCCATTCCCAAAGTTGCAAACTGAACAAGTTAAATAATTATACAATAAAAAATATTGAGAAAGGCGGGGAGAGAGAGATTAAGAAAGAAAGTGAGAGCGTAAGAAAGATACTTACAGCTTCTGTGTGAATCGGATGCAAAGAGAAAAGGAGAGCAGCAATGAAGGCAGTGAATTGATTCACAAATAAACAGCAAACCCTGACAATAACAAAGAAAAATATGTTCAAGTGTTAAAAACAAAAAAAAAAAAATTGAATAAATAAAAGAAAGCAGAGTACAATGAAAGAAATTAGAAACACCTGATGATAATGGCAATTTAGTTCTTAAAAGACAGGAATTGAAACATCTCTGTCAAAGAATTTAGATGATAAAACAGTGGCTCAAAACAAAACCGTCCCCCACACATAAAGAATATTTTGACAATAAATTCAGTAAAGATCAAAGTAGCTATAAACAGAGTGACAATATACAAGTAAAAAGGGTGGTAACAGATGCCGACTACAATGGAACAATGTCCTAAAATGAGGATGAAAGTCATTATCAGACTCGACTATTCCTTCTTAATGTGACACTATTTAGGTATGGTAATTGGCTAACTAATTAACCATAGAAATTAAAAACAGGAAAGACTTTATGCGAGAAAGAGCTTATATCAAAAGATAGACTGAGAGATGTTAAAAAAGAAGATTTTATTTTATTTACAATGGAAAAAAAAGAAAAGGATTTTGTAAACAAAATTCTGGATAATAATTTTAAGAGGCCCAGTCTAGACACACCCACACTGCCGAGAGATCATTGGTCAAGTGGTAGCATGGGTGATAGGTGGAGGTGAATGTATGAGAAAGATGGAGAAGTTGTTAACAACCACTGAGGGGATTGGTATGAGATACCAATGTGAGAGAGGAAGAGTCTAGGAGGATAACTCTCCTCCGACCTTCCTTCATGGACAAGGGAGAAACCCCCGAAATGGAAAGTAATTAATTTTGCTGGCCTAAGAACAAAGAGAATTCTTGTTGGGAATCGGGAATTATTGAGGAACCCAAACCATATCAAGCCCCACACCGGGTTTTGGTTGGTATCCATATAAATGAATGTCTCAAGGCAGTTGTAGTTGGAGTTCAGTTACGAACAGAGTCAGAGTGTTGCCTTGCAGAAGCTGACCGAGAAATTCCACATCCTTTCAACTTCGACTTCCTACCAAAAGCAAGTTATATTGATGAACAACTTAAGATACCAAAATTTGCTTAAGAAACACAAAAGTGTCACAAATCCATAGAAGCGTGCTGGAAGAGAAACACACCCCTGTATATAACAGACAGATAAAGATAATTTGTTATTTCTCAACATATTTGAACCTCTTGAGTTTTGTTTTATTGCTTCTTTTACTTATGCTTGTGCAATATCACCTTCACCCCTAAGATCAAGATCAAAGTCACAACGTGGGTAGGTTAGACTTGAGATCTAAGTAGTTACTTCGGTAATCAGATGTTGTAAGTGAGCTGGGAATGACAAAGCTGGTATCAAACTGGGAACAACCAAATCGACCGGGACACAGGCTGGTGGCAGCAACAAGGAGTCAACCCCAAACGCTGGTGGAAGAAACCTTACAGCTTCATGCCACAATTGGGAGTTGACCTCGGGCCGACAGTGCAGTGTCACATATTGGCATCACAGCCAGAGGACGTCACATATTAGCAATGTAACCACCAGTGGGAGTCACATTAAACTAGAAACTACCTGTGTCATTTTGAGAATTTTCACATCTGAGTGGGAAAAATCTTGCCAGGTGGAGTCAAAAATTTTTCATATTTTCACTGATTTGGGCAACTTGTCTCTAAATGTTATATCATTCATTTAATACAACTTGTTGTCAAATTGTTGATGAATTATTTATTCTTTATTTTCATATATAACATATAAACATTGTTTATTATTTATTTTACAGCTTTGATAATGAGGGGTGAAAAAATAGTAATTAGAGCCATTTTACACTACCTGTGGAAAAAAAAGGACTGAGTGCAAGGTCAGCGGCAAAAGAAATTAATGAATTGAATTGAAGATGGAAAATGATCTATTTTGTAATCTGAATAAGAGAAATTAGTAGCTTAATAACAAGGGCAGTTTGAACAGGTCATGTTGTGTGTTTGGTAGAATTTTGAGGGCGTGTTGTACTTTAAGCTTGTCCCAGATAGTCATGCTGTAAGCACTGACCTTTATGATCAACAACTGCAGTGAGTCTATGATGCTTTGAAGGACCACTACCCTGCATTGATCAAAGATGTGTACTCCCACAGCATGATAATTCCCCAGCATATACTGTGGCCAATCACAAAACTCAAGGGGCTGGAACTGCCTACAGTCCGAATGTTGTACCAGCAGATTACCATCTTTTCTGAGCCATGGCTCATTTTCTGCACAGATAGAGGTTCAACAAAATGGATGAGGTTGAAAATGCATTCAAAGAGTTTTTTTATACCTCTAAACCAGTCAAATGCTATAAAATTGGAATTAAGCTTTTGGTACAACAATGGAAACAGACAATAAATTTATTATATATTTTGTTGAATAAATGCTATTTCATATATAATTTGTTTGAACTATTAATTAAATCTTGAAATATGAAAAAAACTTGACTCAAGTTAATAAACAAACAACATCCTTAACTACTTGATTGAAACTTACAATCATTTTTACAAATGGTAGAAAAAAATTTCAATTTCAAAGAACAAAACATTTTTCTTTGTCACAGGCACAAAGAATCTGCCTCATTAACTTGCCCAATAATTTTAACCATAACAAAATTCACAGATTCTGTTTTCATGGCTAAATGCAACATACTAATGCTGCCATAAAGTACAATCTCAAAGAATTCAGTTTATGTTAGCATTCATTCTTAATGTCTACAGATGCCAATGAAACCCAGTATGGGAAGAAGCAACAGGTCTATTATATCTTATTGCCCTGTTTACAGATGACAAGTGTCTCGATGCCAGCAATGTATCATCTTTCCTCTGGCTGGTGGATGTTCATTATGAATCATTTTTTTGAGAAAAATGAGTAACCAACCATCATGGTAATTTAACAAATACCATCAAAATCACACCACCACTTCCAGTACACCATTTACCAAAATGTTGCAAGGGTAACTCACTCATTCACTCATACACATATGCAAGTGACCAAAGAGTTAAGTTAATCTGTCTTAGAGAGATTTTAAAATTTACACAGTGTACATGTAGCTTGGATGGATTATTCCCAAAAGACTGCAAGACGTTAATGAAATTCTATTTCATACATTATTAACCCAAAATAGATAATCTTTATTCTCCCATGTCAATCCTCACCACACATACTTTAACCCCACCCCCCACCCTGATTACAATCAGAGCACCCTTGCTCAATCAACTGAGCAATAGTAGCAGCATAAAAGGTTATACTTTTAGGAAACTTAAAGTTAGACATTTCACTCTCATTTGTTTGGGGAGCAATCAGTCAAGGGATCCAACAATAATGACCTACCAAGTATTACCGTGAGAGCTTGTTATGAACACAGCAGCAACTGAGCATTAAAAAGAGAGAAAGAGAAGGGGGGGACAAAAAAATAAAAGAGAAAAACTGGATTAACAAAGCAGAACTTGTTTTTGTTGTTGCGTACCAAGTGAAGCAAAGAAAACATTTTATCAGCCGTCCTTTTTTCTTTTTGACACTGTTTGTAAAATATGAAAAAAACATGAGGAGAAAAGGAGGAAAAAAAATTCATTCACTTTTTAGTTACAGTAGTATAAATCTATTTTAGAAACATGTCTTAAGTTGAGAATGAAAAAGAGTAAAGAAAAGAGATATTTATTTGCATATGTCTGTCATATTCAGACACCTTTCTAAATGCACTTTTATTTTTTTCCTTCCTCAAGACAAACAAGTGATTGTTTTGTAAAATGTGATCAATGACAAGAAGCAAAAAAGTTACGATTTTTTGAACTTGCATTTTCATCTTGTGAAATTTATATACACACACAAAAAAAAAGAAAGAAAGAGAGAAAATACAAACATTTTGGGGTGTAAACACTGGAAGGTCTTCTTTTTAAAAGATGGTTCTTGGTGATAAAATTAATGCCTTATATGTATTTAATGCTTTTACAAATTACATAAAATTAACAAAAAACAATGATGAAAACCTTGAAGCTGATTGCACAAAAAACAAAACAGTCAGACATCACATATGTCCTATTTGTTTGCATTTTGTGTTTTCATTTCTACTATTGTCCTTATATTAATGCCTCATTGGTCAAAATTGTGAGAGGAAGAAGTCATTTCTTGTTTGCCTCCTTTCTCTCTCTCGTGCCATTCCTGTATAAAAGAGATTGTTAAAAAAAAATTCATTTTTACTAGTCAGATTATAAGTCACATGATGACTGGATGCTCATTTTAAAGCTACTTTTATACATGATGTGAAAATGTCATATTGGTCTAATAACTAAAATTAGCCATTGAAATTCAATGTTATCAGAAAAAATAATGGATTAAAAATTACTAAAGCTGCATACCCACACATTTACATTTGATGCAGAAAATTATTTAAATTGAATGAAGTATTCAGACAGTCTGCAAACATGAGGTAGCCCATTTCTAAAACAATAACAAACAAGAAGTGAGAAAGTTTTGTAAGAGATACAAAATATTTAATAACACAAATGCACAATTATTTTATTTTTTTTTACTTCTTGCTTGCATTAATATTCTATTTTCTACATTGGAAATATATGTGACTACAAAAGAACAGTCAGAAAGAAAAGCAAACCAGATTATTATTATTATTCTTCCTTATAATTATTTCTGATAAGCAACAAGGACCAGTGATAAAATACTGCTCACAAATCTAAAGTAAATTTTATTTCTATTGTTTATATTATATATATATTAAAAGTATGGTCTTACATTGAAATAGGTTTACTAAGGTTAGTTTCATCTGGCACAAGGCTTTAAGAGAAGAGTGCCCAACTAGAATATTCATTGCACAAAGCTATTAGCTTACAAATCATTACAAAGCAAACATTCCTGTATGTCAGTTTAAATAGGAATTTCCTAAGTGATCACTTTCAATTTGGCATCTAAATTTTGCTTTGGCCATTGCAAGATTAATATTGACTTCATATTGGTAAAAGTGTCTTCTACAAAAAATAATTATTTTTACTCTTTGCTTTCAAATAAGACTTTTTTTTTGTTTTTTCATTTTGTTTTTTTACTGAAATTGACCTCAGGCAAATGTAGGCATTAAATACTTCATTAACCGTACAGTTTGCCTTCTAAGCATAACAGAAAAGCTGTCATCCATAAAAAGTGCATTTGAAACTATGTCAAAAATAATTTCATCTGTTAATCATTTTAAATGAGAGAAATTATATACTCTGAAGCAATTCTACATGCTTAGATTGATTGATTTAAACATGAAAAGCTGTAAGAAAAAGACAACAAAAACTAAAAAAAACAGGTGCTTTCGGAGAATTTAATGGATTGTCTTTTGACAATCACCTATGAAATGAGAATTTTGATAAATTCCAAAAGGAAAAATTTAATAGCAAGAGACAAATTAATTCTTTTTATTGGTTTAATTTTCTTTATGGAGAAAATGCAACACTGTCAACAAATGAACGGAAAGAAATAACTTATATTCTCAAGAATGAAAAGTCCAGCTGAGAATCAAATATTATCTGTTTCTCACATTTAAATCATTTCCTCTGTACTTAGAGTCAAATCACAACTGCCTTGTGAAAAAACAGAAGTTTTCTTTCAACATTAAAACAATTTGCCATTCATAAGATATTTAGTCTTTTTTTTTTGTTGTTTTTACACAGGAAGAAAAAAGAATCAAAGAAATAGCAAAGTATTTAAATCACATTATTTTCCTTGCCATGAAAAATATTTTATGCATTGCCTGCAATTAAATGGAACAGTTATCTTAATAGAATTTATCAATAAAAATAAGACCGTGATTGTTGGTCACAAACTTTGACAAAAGAAATCATTTCTAGAAACATCAAAGTTAGCTCAATAGATTTTACAGATTGTGAAAGTTTGAGTCAGTTTCTTTTTCATCAAATATTTTTAGAATTTTCAAGTCAGGATTTATTGCTGTTTTACACAATTTTTATTGAGTACAAAAAACATTTTAAATGGTTGATCTTTTTTTTCTGCTTTTGTTAGACATGCCAAGTGTAAATGAACATAAAACTACCTTACAAAATGAATTCAACTCAGAAATTCCAATCTCTTTTCATATGAATCTCATTGTCAGAATTTTAACAAGGAACTTTCACAGTGGTTCTATTCACCAAACATTCAAATTTATAACTTTTTTAAAACTGTTTACTTTATTTAAAATTATAAAAAAAATGCTACCAGAGTAAATATCAAGTTAAAGCTGAAAACATTTATGAGTGTTCAAATATCTAAAAAGGCTTAAATAAGTTTAATTAAATTTTAAATGAAAAAAAGTTATTTACAATTTGTTTTGCAGGTGTTTCTTTCTAAAAAACTGTAGACAAAATGTTTTTCAGGAAAAGGCAGAATATTAAAAAAAATCTTATCTTCATAACCGAAAATGTACATTTTATAAATAACACTTTTCAATTTAATCAAAAACAAAATTAATTTGTCAAATATCTTGATGAATAAAGCAAATTTTAGATAAAAAGGAAACCCAAATTTCAGTTTGAATTTCAGATTTTAATTCATATTAGTGGTATAAGACAACTACCAAACTACCCATATGGTGATACAATCAATACTTTAACTGTATTACCAATGTTACGATAGACCAACAATTGTACCCCCACCTTAGATTTTACAAGTATATTTTTAATATCTTACATATTTGCGAAGAGATATGAGAATAACAGTCGTCTCTTTATTTCTTTGAATATGCAGATTATGGAATATTTTTTTTGTACCCAGTTAAACTAAAGCCAGTTCTTGGAAGAGAACCTGCCTTTCCCCCACCTCCTGTCTGGTCTCTGATCACAGGCCAGATGAACACTGATTGTCTGATAAGTACAAGTGACTCTAATAGTGTTCAATGGATAATGCCTACTCACTTTCATATGCCAACATGTGACTTAACCCCTAAGTTTGTTTTTTTTGCACATGTTGGGATATAACAACTTCACGTAGCCATTTGCTTTCAGAGGAATCGGATGTCACCAAGAATTGAATGACTGATGAAAGAATCCTGAATGGTATTCTCAAGCACAAGTTGTCTATACTCCTGTGGTTTATCTGCATATACTACTTGCCCTCTGCAAGGATTGAACAGTGTTAATCAAGGACTTATATCTGGACATTAGCAACTCCACCTTTTTCGCTCGAAGAATTGAATGGACATCTTTTCTTTCAAACTTTATTTCTGATAACAATCAATTGATGTTGATCCCTACAATTTGTAAGTCTTTACATGTTTATATATATATATATATTCTATAATCTGCTGTCACGATTTTTGTCGGTATTTCGTCACATTGATGTTTGTTTAATCAACTAATTGTCCCCTCGTCCCTTTTACTATTTAGTTTTCTTTTCTTTAATTTAATACACTATATATTTTATAAATAAAGTATTTTTATTATATGTTCTCATGTCATCTTCTGTCATCCTGTGTCTGCATATTGTTCATTTTCTCGCAGTGTTCACCAACGTCCGGAATTGGAGAATTCCTCTCCCATCATTCTTTTCATCAATCTTACATTGAACCCTGGGATAATCTCATTTATTTTTTTTATTTTTTCATTGCATCCCGGCTATTGTAGTGCCAACGAAACCCCAGGTGTAACACCAATAAGGTAATACAGTCAAATTGTTATTAGTAAATCATATAAGGTGAATAGCATGTTATTAGTCAAAGTGGTTGGAGGTTAACCAGGATTAATGACAGATTTGTTTACATTAATATTTACTGATTTTACATTTCTTAATGATTCATCATTATTTTTATATTTTTTTTTATTTACAGTGTTCCAGACACATCCAATAATAAAGAATTTTAAAACACTGAAAATAATAAATATTTTTTCAGTGGAGTTTTCTCTTTTCCGTTTTCATAACTAAAAAGTTGACAGCAAGTTTAAATTAAAAACAAAAACAAATGAATAAAAAAATTAATAAAAACAAATTTCTGAACCAAATGTTTTTTAGTTTTTATTTTATATTTTTGTATTCAGAGCAGATTTTCTACATTTCACATTGAAATTGAGAATAAAATTTCACCTGAGTTCTCTTTATAATATGCTAAATATTTTTAACATCTAAATGATATTTTATTCAAATTTCATAAAATTAAATAAAAGGACAAGAAGATGAAGGACTTTAAAAAAAAAAAGAAAAATTATTTCCTCAAATTATTCATCAAAATTTTCCTTTCATAAATAAGTATCAAGTTTTATTGAAATCTAATTTTTGAGAGACTTCCAAAACGTTGTGCTGTCATTTTGTGAGATGTACAAACAATGGACATTATTTTAAGGTCACTCATTTTTATATCTGGCCTTTAAAATGCCTTCTCATTTTGGAGATTTTTTTTTTTCAAATTCAAGTATCATATGATCCAGGAGAGATCCTCATTTACAACAGTTCAAATGTACCAAAAGTAAAATTTATAAATTCCTCTTGAAAATCAGGTGAGAGTGCATGGGTAACATTTTTGATTTTTTCTTTTGCCCAGAATTGAATGAATGACATATTTGACAAGTGTTGGTTGAAAAAGAAACGCTATGACATTTTTTATTAGGGGTACAGACTGAATGGTTGACTACCAAAAGAGAAAAAGCAAGAATTTTACCTCATAAAAGACACACAGACAGAAGCATGAAGCAGCAGATTGACAACATGGTAGGAGATTGGGTCCATTGAGCCCAGCAAGTAATTCATTCGGAATGTGAGTACACACAAAGGTCGGTAGGACTTGTGACTATTCTCCTGCAACCAAGAAAATAACTGTATAAATATTTAAACTGACATTGCAAAAACAGTTTGTCAATAAAAAAAAAAAATATCTGTAAAGAAATACAAGTATTTTGCCTGAATTGGATTTAAGAATGAGCTCAATTTTACATCAAGTGGGCTGGAGATATACAGAAAATGCCAAGATGAAGAAAATTGTATTGTTTTTATTCAATAAAAATTGTTACATGTTATAATGCAATACACTACTTTGAGATGAACCAAATTAGCTTACACTGAATTCTTTACAAAACATTCAAACATTCAGAAAGCTAGGACTAGGCTAAGCTTTAATTTCAACTTTCTAACAATATTAGCCATTTAGTAAACTTAGTATGATCCAGACACTTGACACCTTTTAGCTTTGACAAGTGCATTAATATTAGTAGAGATTTCCTGTGAAGCAGCTAGTTTCAGGATGTCATTTAAGTTTTTGTTTGTTAGCCTTGAACAGAGTTTGTTTTTGCTGATACTCATTACTGAGAAAACTTGCACACACAGGTGGCAGCTAAATCTCTCAGTTTGGAATAACCAAGAAAAAAATGCTTCTATATTTCGAGGCCAACAGAGGCAAACTTTTCTTTCAAGTTTTTGAGTCATACTGCAAATCAATTATCTCAAGTTGCATATCAGTTGGCACATCAGAAGGTGTTACAGAGAATGGACTACAAAAGATTTTGAATTCTGTCTCTAGTTCATCAAATACTTCAAAGCGCCACTTGAATTGTTGAAGCAAACTAGAAACTTTCTCTTTGTACTGGCCCAAGTCCTTTGTACTTCCAGCATTGCAAAGATCTTTTAGACATGGAAAATGAGCAGGATTGTTGTTTGACAACTGCATCTCTCACAAAACAAGTTTAGACTTGAAGGCTCCTATGTTGTCATAGTACTGTGTGACAACTTTGTTATGACCTTGCAACATTCTATTCAGGTTATTCAAATGGTCTGTTAGATCCACCATGAATACAAGGTCATGTGCCCATTCTGGGGACTGTAATTGTACCACAGGCTTCCCTTTTATTTCCATGAAGTTTACAATTTCCCCTCATAGTTAAAAAAAAAACACTTCAGTACAATACCCCGACTTAACCATCTTACTTCAGTATGATAAGGCAAACCATGGCCAACATCTTTATCATTAAGAAGAGTGTCAAATTCATGATGGTTGAGGCCTCTGGCATGTACAAAGTTAGTTTTGACAACAACTTCCATCACAGGGTCCATTTTCAGTGACTTGCAGCATAATGCCTCTTTGTGGAGAATACAATGGAAAGTCCTGATACCTAGCCTTCCATTTGCAGTATTCACTTTCAAATTCACTACAACACCAGCTTTCTTTCCAAGTCTACTCCAACATTATCCAATGCACCAACAAGTGAACCAAAAATGTCTTCAGCTTTTGTCATTCTTGTCATTGGTACTAACTGAACAAATTCTTCAGTAACTCTTAAACTTGCATCAACTCTACAGATGAAAATTGCAAGCTGAGTAATGTCTGTAATGTCAGTACTCTCATCAATAGCAACTGAAAATGCCACAAAAGATGCCACTTTTTCCTTGAGTTGGCCATCTATATCAGCTGCAAGGTCTGAAATATGATCAAAAATAATGTTCCTTGTCAAGCTTATATTAGAAAAAGACTGGTGTTTTTTGGGACACAATTTCTGTAGCTTTCAGCAAACAATTCTTCACAAATTCGCTGTCAGAGAATGGCTTGGATGTCATAGCAATTTCTTTAGCAATGATGTAGCTGGCTTTTACACCCGCATCACTAACCTCCATACTATGACTGAAAATGGATTGCTGTTTCTTTAAACCAGACAACATTTCTTTTGCTTTGTCTGTCCTTGCTTTCCCTTGCAAATTTCAGAATTTTTTGCTATGGTGATGTCATAGTGCCAGTGAATGTTACATTCCTTCATAACAGAAATTTGCTGCATGCATATTAAACACACAGATTTTCCATTTACAGATGTGAAAAAATATGAATCTGTCCACTTCTCTTGGAATACTCTGCATTCTGTATCAAACTTTCATTTTTTTGACAACGACATGGTGAAAATTTAACCAAATTTTAAAAGCAATGCCACAATATACTTGACACAGGTAATATGTTAGGCTGGTTTCCGAAATGTCAAGATACAATATTAAACACAATCTTCTCATTATTACAGAGAGATAGATGCGTAGGCATTTGCAGTTTTAGATGTGTGGCCTAATGGCGGCTCGGCAATTCAAGCTTTGACGAATCCTGACTGGCCTGATGTTTCCTGTCTGGCATGTTAGACAATGCAAATAAACTATGGGGTTAATCTCTTGAATGCCAGCTAGTACAGGTGAGAAAAACATTGCTAGGTTTCAGTTTGTTCGAAATTGTTTTAAGGATCACATTGAAGCCCTTGGTGGGCTGGATCTGGCTCATAGGTCATATGTTTGACACTTCTGGCATAGCAGGAACACCAGAGAAGATGAGGCAGCAATATTTAAAGCAAGGATAAATGGTAGACTTATAAATATGTAAGGTAGATTCTGGCAAGAAAAAATTGTCTAGCATGACACAGTGAACCAATTTTCTTAGCTGCAGACTTAGCAATTGATTCAATATAATCTTTCCACTTCATGTTAGCAAAAACTGTTAGTTCAAGAAGGCACAATGAGTCACTCTCCTGGCAGTTAGCATCAGCCATGTCAATGGAAGTTAAAAAGGGTTCTCGCAGATGATTAAATAGAGAAGTTTCATTTTGGAGGCATTAAAATTAACAAGCCATTCCTTGCCCCAGTTAACAACAGAAAGTGGATAATTTTTTTTTTGATTAACTGCCAGTTTTACCTTAGTAAACTGATCAGACCTGCTAGTAAGACAGGAATAAATAGTTGTGTCATCAGCATAGACACCAAGTTGAGAACTGGGGAACACTGGCATTAATGCAAAAGGGTCTAGAAAGAGTGGCCATTGAAGATAACTTTCACTGAATGATAAGAAAGACTGAATCAGTTCAAAAATTCATCTAGAAATACCACAGCCTTTCAACTTGTAAAGATCAGTCTGATAAACCCAGTCAAATGCCTTTGAGATATCCAAAGCAACAGCCATTCTTATCTAAAGCTTGATAGGACTATTTCAGCAATAATCATTAATACATCAACAATTGACCTAGAGAAGCAAATGTCATATTGCTTATCTGGAAGATGACTGTCAAATGCCTTTGAGATATCCAAAACAACAGCGTGAGATTCACTATTCATATCCAATTATTGATAGGTTCTTTCAGCAATAATCATTAACACATCAACAATTGACCTAGAGAAGTGAAAACCATACTGCTTACCTGAAAGAAGACCTTGCAAGGTGAGATGCTTAACCAATTCAGAGTTAATTAGAGCCTTTAGTACATTGCGAGAAAGAGGTAAAAGGCTATAAGCAGATAGAAGTATCAAATGGTCTGGCTGAGTTCTTAAAAGCAAGAACTACAGAAGAGGATTTCCAACAAGGAGGAAAGCAAGAAGTAGCAAGGCATCAGTTGCAGAGTTTACAGAGAACAGGAGCCAATTCAGGAGCACCATTCTTAAGGAAGATTGCAAAGATACCATCATGTCCACATGCTTTCTGAGGATCCAGTTTAAAATGATAGCAGAAACCATAGAGTTATACGCATATCACTCAATAGAGACTCAGTTCTGAGTGGAAAGTCAGTCAAAGATATTCCAGATGAGTCAAGAGCAGAATTTGAAGAGAAATTTAAAGAGTTTGTGTAAATAGATTGCAGAACAGAAAGTGAGAAGGATAGTAAAAAGACAAAGATTGCTAAGAGCTACAAAGGATAGGAAGTTGTGGAGAGCCATGATCACCCACATACTTAAGAGATATTTGTTGGGATCCACTTAAGAGATGAGAACAGAAAGCCATGGATGTATATCATTCAATAGAGACTCAGTTTTAAGTCGAAAGTCAGTCAAAGATATTCCAGATAAGTCAAGAGTAGAATTGGAAGAGAATTTACAAGCAAAACATTCTGCTTTATCAGCAGAAGATCTTAACACCTAAACTGAGTATAAAGAGGAGGAATAGAAGACTTACTAATTTAATACACTATTACAGAGCTGATAGTATTCATGAGAACCAAACTTATTAGAGGCCATATGGTGCCCTCATTCTATCAGCAAACAAAGACTTAGCCTCTTTGACATGTTTACAATTATTACAAGCAATCACAAATAGGCATTTGTTGTGATCAGAACCATCAAACTGGTACACCTGTAAAAAGTGATTCCTGTGGGCTATAGTGACTGAAAAGGCCAGTGAGAACCAAAGAGAAGGTTGTGATTTCACCTGGTATTTGCAAGAAAGTACAAAAGCATCAATACCAACTTTAACCCAAGAAACCTCTGTGGCACAATTCTCAGTAGGGAGATTAAGAATATCAATCCAAGGGGTATCTCAAATGAAGTCACGAAATAAATCCCAGTCAGTACATTGAACTGAAAGAAGTCTTGTAAATAAAAGGTTCCTTTTTAATAGACAACTCAAAAGAAACATCAATAGATACGACATCATGATCTGAATTGGCAAGAGGACAGGTATGATGCTCTAGAAGACCTAAGAGAGGAGGTAAGGAACAAATCAAGTAAAGAATAATGTTGATCAGATTTATTAAGAAAATAGAGAAATCCATTATATAGCTGAGAGGCTGAGCAACAGAAAAATTGAAAGTCTGAATACCAGCAACATCAATAGCATTAGAATATTTAAGTCATTTAACATGATAAGAATTAAAATCAAACAGAAAAAATATTTGCAGAGAGAACCATTTCTATATCATCAGAATTTGTTTTTAAATTCAGTTTTAGATTTTTCAGAATTTGTCTGGATACTCCACACAGAATTGCAAAAAAAATTATCAAAGATTCCCCCACCCATTCAACAAACTCACAAAAAAATATGCATTGTTATTTATAAGCATAGAAGGAGTAGATGCTAGACATTTTTCCTATTTGTTAGTTTCAATCAATCTAATGAGAATGACTTAAGAACATCCCCCACTACCCAATTTATAGACAACTCATACAGATGCATGCTGGGATTTCTTCTTAATAAAAATGGACAATTCTTGGTTTCATCCCTCGTATTTTTGTTCTTTCTTGTTTTGAAATCAGAATGCTATAACCACTTGACGGTATCATTTTTGTGTGTGACAAGACTGTAAACTTTTTGCTTTATTACTGTTGCTTTGCCTAGTTTTGACTTGTGCACATACACACACACACATATATATATATATATATATATATATATATATATATAGATATAAATAAATTGCTTAGTATTATTTTGGCCTGTTCATTTTTCTTAATGTGTATTGAAAACTTTGTCAATTCAGTTTGTTGAGAATTTTATAAATTACACTTAACCATGGCCAATCATTCCACACAATCACCATGCAAAATGCAGAGATACTTTCAACAAGTTAAAGCAATTGCTTCACACAAAAACAAAACTAGATGTGATTTTGAGGCAGGAGATTTTTTTTTTTTATTCACTATGCTTCTTGGCATTCAAGCCTGAGTAAAAGGCAAGACTTTTAATGTTTGATTTTTAAAGTATTTCCCAACTAGAAAAATACAAACATCTTATACCCCCAGCCACCTTCCTCTCTACCATATTTGTCCCTATACCAGAATAAATTATAGCAAGTAAATACATTTTGCACTTGTAAGTGTATTATCATTTTGCAGTTATCTATGCATGCCATAGGAGGGGAAAATCAATCTTTTGTTTCCTAAAACACAAATGGTTTATTTTTGCTGTTAAGTGATTTGTAATTTTAATTATTTTATTTGATTGATATATGCATTCTGAGAGAAAAAAATATATAAACCCTTAAGACAAAAACAAAAAAAAAAAAAATAAAACATTTGTTTTTTTAATGTGAAAATTGAAAAAAAGTATTACCTTTTGCATAGGCGTTCCCCAAAAATCATTCCAAAAAAGATTTGTGATTGGAACATGAGGTCGGAGATCTTGATTTTCAACCACAGCAGATACATCATCAAATACAAAGCCACAAGACAAGGAGTTGAGGTAGCAGATGCACACACTAACAAACAAAATAAGACTGTATTTGATGAAAGAAGATGAGAAGGAAGAGCAGGGCAATCCAGGCTGGCTGCACACCATTGTCAAATTGTTCTTTTTCATCAAATCATGTTTGCGTGACAGTTTTTGAGTGTGACCATTTGTGTAACTGGAAAGAAGGAAAAAATATTGTCCACTTTCAAGGTTTTTCAATGGAAAAATATCTTCAGAATATCAAATCACAAATAAGTAAAATAAAATCACAGGAGCTGGAATTAACATATTTGAGAGCATATGAATGCCATCCTTGCTTTCAAAAGAATATCTTCAAAAGTTCTTACATGCAAAGTTGCGATATCTGGTAAGTTAATGTGCATATGGTCTAACAGCAGTGAGGAAAGTGGAAGTGGTTCAAATCCTAACCGAGTGTCTCATTTACTTCACATTGATTCCCTTGCATGAATTTTTCTTCTTTTAGTTGTGGATTAAATAAAATGGCAGACTAGATTCCTTTGCCTTGGTGAATTCAAAACTTTATAAATAACAGGGCAGACAGGACACTTTAGCCTTGGTAGGGCAATCAGTCTATGACACAAAGATAATACTAAATTCAAAATTAACCTGAAAAGAGATGAGCCCCACCAGGTTCTTGCTTTTGACTCACCTGTTATTGTAGTACATGCGGAATTCCTACAACCCTAATGGGTTACAGGACCCATTATCAAAGATGTTTTATGCAAACTCCATAGAGGCCACCAGGACTTGCAACTCGCCTAGCAGCATAGACGCCACCAGGACTCGCACGCCGCCTAGCAGCATAGACGCCACCAGGACTCGCACCCCGCCTAACAGCATAGACGCCACCAGGACTCGCACCCCGCCTAGCAGCATAGACGCCACCAGGACTTGTACCTCGTCTAGCAGCATAGAGGCCACCAGTATTTGCATCTTATCTAACTCCATAATACTTTAATTTAAAATGTAAATGGTGATGGTCTTATGCCATCAAATGCAGTCAATCTTAATTTTGTTGTTCTCACCTATATCCACACCTTTTTTCACCCAATAAAAGGCCCGAGAGTCACTCGTTATAATTGAAATGGCAATAATTAATGAGGTTTGTTATATAAAATGTAAAAAAGGTAGTAGGAAGTGGAGACTATGAGGATAAGAGGGATAGATAAGAATTGCTCCTGAAATGAGGAAATCTAAAGTGAATTGTTCAGGGAAGCAACCACATGGAAGTCTGTTCCATAAAGTTCTTAGGAGAAAGCTGTCTGCATAGAACTTCCTTCTTTTAATTTGGAACGCTGAAGAAATGAGGCTGATTCAACTCTGTGGAAGTAGCATAGTGCACTATAACTGGTAAACATCTAAACTGGTGGCACTAAAGAATGGGGCACATCTGAAAATTTGCCATGGGAATAGAAATAGAGCAGCAATAAACTCACAACATCACATCTGTGGGAAAGAGGTCGTAAAGTTTTTCCCCAAAAGAATTCTATCAAAGCTGGAAAGTGAGATTTGATCAGCTCCAGCAAAATGGCAGCAATGCTTAATTTTCAGTCTAAGCTCACTTTTTTTTTATAGCTTGTATCGTGTCAGATAAACTCTTAATTTGCCAAAAATCATTCAATTTGAGTGATTGATAGATTTTTATGGTTTATTAATCCTTTGCAGGTTATTTAAAACCAGAAAATATTTTTGCAAGAATTTTTTTTGGGGGAAGATAATGGTTTAATGATACAAGTCTTACTAATTAATCCATAGCTAGGGGGAGAAGAAATGGCTTTCCCAAGAGTATTTGCACCTATGTGTATATAACAAACCCAACGGGATTTGGAACTTGGCTCCCCAGTTAACAATCTTGAGCTATTATCCTGGTATTCCCAAGCAGTCATTATCTAGTTACTGACCAGGCTTGACATTGCTTAACATTGGTGATCCTACAGGAACCAATGTTTCAAAGTGATGTGGCTATAAGTCCTTTCAACTTGAAACTTCTCTTCTAGGAAATAACTCCCAAAAATTGGTACTCCTTATTTTCTAACTCTTTATCTTTTTTAGTTGCCAGTACCTTGAGCCAGCCCTCTGTGTGTGTGTGTGTGTGTGTGTGTGTATATATATATATATATATATATATATATACACACACAATTTCACCCCCAAGCAAGGCAATAAAGCCACTAAGGTGCAAGGGCTTACTGAGTGTTAGAGAATGAGAAAAAACATTATGAAAAAAAACAAGAATTAAGAAAACAGAAGATAATGATAGACACTGCATTTAAATTTTTGAAGATCAAAGGTTGAGTGGGGGAGGGGGTAGGTGAACTTTTTTTGTTTAGTGGTTTTCTCATATTTCTTCTCATTGTATCTGTCATAAGGAGATTTTATTTTAGGGAGAAAAATTAAAACGCCCAAAATAATTATTATTATCTGTCCGTCAATGGCAACACAAACTGGCCAGAACATGGCCGAGACCAAAGGGTTGCCCACCAGAAATACATGCAGGGGCAACTATCCATGGCACTACAAATACCCTGATATTATGTGACTGTTGATCAGAAAAGCCTCCCTAAGTTCTACCATAGAGTCTGGGCTCCTTACTATCAGTCAGATAGTCAGAAAACTACTAACCCGGTACCCTCATAATGAACAGTCACAGCTACAGAACAGTCAGATCACCAAAAAGTAAGAGTTAAATCATAGCCATGGAAGAAAGAAATGAAAAACTGATAAAGTATATCTTAAACAGGAACCTCTGCTAATCATAGTGAGGCATGTAAATGATTCCAACAGGGACAATGTTTCATTTGTAGAAAACGTCATGTGAAACATCTATTTCTAAACTGGCAGTTATTAGAAAGTTACAATAGTTTAAAATGGCTGAAGATGTTTATATAGTACTGTAGTTATTTCTAGCAAAGCTTTAAGTCTTGGGTTTAACAGTTTATCGAGCAATGATTGATGTAACAAAGCATCAGCCAAAACAGCAGCTACTATGAGAAGGAGAGGAGGGAGATGTTACAATAAAGAACAAAAAGATGTCCAGCCTTATTAAAAGGGTTCAAGTTGCAAAAAATACAGTATAACATTAAAATTTGGTACAAAATTTTAAAGAAAATAGAAATAAAAATGACACTTGGAATTAGAAAGTGACAATTGAAATTTCTAAGGTACATAACGAAAAAAGAGGGCTTGGAAAATTTAACATTCACAAGACATGTTGAAGGCAAGAGAGACAGAGGAAAGTATCAAATAATATGACTGATGAGAATGTGTAAATAGGTAACAGAACAAGATTAGGAGAGATAGCAAAAAGACTAACATTGTTAAAATCTAGAAAGAACAGAAAATTGTGGAGAACCATGATTGCACACGTCATGAATGAGGAAAACTGATATCACAGGTAGGTCTTACTAAATATATCAAATCATTCATTCAAATGATTATATATTACTGACAGAAGATTCTGATAGATGAAAAAAAAAAAAAAAAAATCAAAAAGACCAGACTCCATTTCCGGACTTTGCTTTATTTACTTTCTGCATCACAAACTAAGCATTTATGGAGCTAGAGAAAAAAAAGTTTGTTGATCAAGCAGCAAATTCTCTAAGTTCTAATCTTTTTTGTTTAAATCATTTCATCTCAAGCAAAGGTGACAGTCAGTAAGAGAGAATGAGAAGTCTTTAGTGAGGAAAGGACAATAAAGGAACATGATTCAGCAAGACAGAAGATGACATTTGTCACCACATTTAAATTTTTGAAGACTGCAGGTAGCAGGGAAGCAGGAAATCAGAGAAGAGTTCCACAGGCAAGAAGTGAGAGAAAAGAAACTATTAGAAGAAAGTAGCATCTAGTTAGTTCAACAGTAAAATGGTGAGACCTAGTTGCCAATCTAGTAGCATGCTTAAATTCATGCTATTGAGGCACCAAGGAGGAAAGCTCATCAGAAGAGCAGTCATGAAAATATTTGTAGAAAGACAGAGAGAAGCAACATCATGATAGGTGAGAAAATGATTGATGTCTAAATGCCAGGTCAAGATTGATTACATTACAGACTCTTCTTTGAATTTTATCAAGAATCTTGAGACATATAGCAGCAGCACCAGACCAGATACAGCAGCAGTATTCAATGCATGGTCGAATGGTAGAGTTATAAATGTGCAAGATGGATTCTGATGTGAAAAGGTTTCTGGCACAACACAATAAACCAAATTTCCTAGCAGTAAATCTAGCTCTTGATTCAACAATCATTCCACTTCATGTCAGTGGAAAACATGAGCCCAACAAGTGTTTTTTTCCTGGAGTTTAATATCAGGCATGCTTATGGCAGGCAGAAAAGTTTTGCTGTGGTGATTAAATGAGAGCATTTTTACTTTGAAAGCATTCAAATTTACAAGTCATTTCCCAGTTAAACACTGATTGGGGTCTTTTTCAAGAATAGTTGCTGGGTTTATTTTGTCAGATCTGTCAAACATGCTGACAAGACAGGAGAAAATAGCTGTGTCATGTGTATAAATACCTAGTTGAGAACTGATGACATTGGGAAGGTCATTGAAGATCAGAAACAGCATAGGTTCAAGTAAAGAGCCCTTGAAGAGTCCCACATTTGTATGAAATTATCTAGAAGCATGCCCGTTCAACACGACCTTCATTACACAATATGTTAAGAATGATAGGATTAAGTTAAATATCTATCTAGTTACACCGACACTCTTGAGCTTGTAGAGAAAGCCAACATGCCAAACACCTTTGAGATATCAAGAGCCACAGAACAAGCTTTGCTGTTCTTATCTAAAGTTTGATAGACAAATTCAGTTATGGCAGTAGAACTGGCAAAATGCAAGCCATATTGTTTATATAAAAGGAGGCTGTGTGAAGTAAGATTTTTAACCAATTCAGCACTGATTAGAGCTTTGAATATATTGCCAAAATGAGGTAAGAAACTAATAGGATGATAATTTGAGGTGTCAGAATATTCCTGGAGTTCTTAAAGAAAAGACTACAGAGAAGGACTTCCAACAAGCTGGAAAACAAGAAGCAGTGAGGCATTTATTGTAAAGTTTGGAGAGAACACCTAAAATTTGTTTGAGCAAATTTTAATTCTGTATGTTGTGCATTGACAAATCAGAAAAAAAAAGAAAAGAAAAAGGATTGCCATTGGTC